CTCTCTCTCTCTCTCTCTCTCTCTCTCTCTCTCTCTCTCTCTCTTTCCCTTCTTCAACCTGGAGTTCGCAGAGAGCCGTAATCGAGTATTTCAATCCCGGAGAAAGAATATCCTCGTTCCACCTGACCAAGACCCGAGAGCTCGCGACAAGCTGAAATCAATAACCTCGGGACACACATCACTCATGATGCTTACTAATTGCCGCCATTGAATTGGTTGGAAAGAAAGTCAGGATTTTTATTATTACTACTTAGCCGCTGTGGTGTTCATTCCGAAAGGAGACACGCGTTTTTTCACCATCCCCATCACCCCCCAAGCGCGCATGCTCGAGGGGAATCGTCAACCGAGACCTGGTGAGCAGGGTACTCCTGAAAATGCCCAAAGGAAAATCTCCGTGGCAACAAAAGAAAAGGTTCGCCCCATGACAGGCCTTTTCGCACTGGTATTACGCGGTATTGGTATCATGAAATCAAATCCCTCATAAAAGCAAAGAGCGGAACGGTCAGGAACCTCGCATTCGCACCGTCGATGCGGCGAAACAAATTAGGCGCTGCCGGTCAGGACAGGGTTGCTGAATCCAAGAGTGGTGCTGCCGTTGGCGGGCTTGACGCCGTGGCCGTTGTTGTGGCCGCTACCATTGAGAGCCTGGTCCACCTGTGAGCTGAAAGTGGTATTGGCTGATCCGTGGGTCTGAGCAGCGGCCTGGGCCGATGGGTCATAAACTTGGTTGGTCATGGAATCAGTGTTGCCAACATTTTGCGGACCGCGAACGCCACCTCCAGTGACCGAGTGCTCCTTACGCTGGACAGTTGGGGCACCTGGAATGTTAGTTGAGGCGGAGGCGGATCCCAGCTTGAAGATCGGAGATCTCCATGCTTCGCCTGACTGGCCAAGCTCCTTGTACTCAGTAGCCTTGGAGGAGATACCGCCCGGCAAGGTGATGTCTGGGAAGATGGAATCGTGCTTGGTCATGGCGACGTTGACCTTGGTCTGAGAGGCAACCGCATCGGCCTTCTGCTTTCCCTGCAGGAGCTGCTTCTGAACAGCACTGGCGTAGCGTTGGTAGATGTTGGGAGCGCTCTCAGGATCCTCCTTGGCCTCTTGGATGGCACGGTCGGCCTCCAGCTTCACCTTGTACGCAAGCGCATCAAGCTCATTGAATTTGTCCTTGATGAGCTTCTCCAGGGCCTTCTGCAGCGCAGGGCGGATGACCTTCAGCATCAAAGGCTTTCCGATTTTGAAAAGGATCTTGTGCTTGGATTCCTTCAGCTTGATATTGAAGTTTTTGACGTCGACATCAACCTTGTCAACCTTGAAGAAGTTTTGACGATCCTTCTTCGCAGCAGTTGACATCTTCATCTTGAAGCTGAGACCGGTGCCACCGAGGAAGATATCTGCCACTCCCGTGTCCGAGAAGGAGAACCCCTGCTTCTTCTTGACGTGGAATGAGACGTCGCGGAGATCCATCTGAACACCGGAAATAGACACCATGACGGAATGACTGTTCGATTTGGCGGGGTTCTTTCGGTTCCATTGGAAGTAGTTGTCTGGATGTGGTTAGCTTGGGTGCTTGCAGAAAGCCATGCGGACGGACAACATACCATTCGCAACCTCGAACACATTGGGCGTCATGTTATCACTCTCGATGACCAAGTTCTCGACGATCGCATCCGTGGTAGGGTCCGAGAATTCAATTCTGGGAATTGGGACGTAGCGAATCGACTCGAAGATTCCTGGGAGGATGACCTCTGTCAAGTCCTTGACAAGATGGGGCTTGAAGGTGGGCTTGCCGTTCTGATCGTTACCCAGATCCGTGAACAGCTTCTGGACCGAAGCGGCGAACTTCTTGTTCACGGGGTCTTGGTCGAATTGATCACCCAAGAACTTGAACTCATCAACGATGCGGTCCGTGTGGTTGCGGTACCGGTCGCGAAGCAGGAAGTCGCCACGGTCGTACAGCTCGTTCCACTCTTCCGTCGCCGCATCCTCCATGATGTATCCTTGTTGCTTGAGGCATTTTCGAACATACGCATCAATCTTCTTGAACCACGACTTCAGCTCGGGGTCTTGGTCCGCATCAGTGTAGATGTTGTTGATAGACTCGAAGAGGTCCTTGGACGAAGTTCCATTGGCCCATCTTTCGATAAGCAAGAGAAGATCGGCCTCGGCGGTCTTCAGCGAGTCGTCAGAACGGGCCCCCTTGACAGCACCCGTCGCATGATTGCCGACGGTGGTGGCGTGGCCCGCATACGTCTCGGCCAGGCTGAGCAGAGTCTCGATCGCCGAGAGGTAATCGGGGTGGCCTTGAACCTCGACCACGAGTTTCTTGAGACGCCAGATGGTCTGCTCCCGGCGCTCCTTGGGCATCTTATTAGATAGGTAGTCCTTGGTGCGATCACGGGTCTCGCGGCCCTTGTTCTTGGTGTCCTCTGGCACGTTCTCTGAGGCACGCTGCTTCAGGGTGGCGGCGGCGTTTTCGGCACCCGCGCGACCATCCACGCCGGCGCTGGTCCCTTGGCGCTGGTCCTGATGGGCGAGCGCAGCAGCGTCGGCCGGATTGCGAGAGCCATCTGGGTGCGCAGCTTCGCTGGCATTTCCAGCAGCGGCCTTCAGGTCGTTTTGGTGGAGAGGAGTCTGCTTGCTGTACGTCGACTTGACCTGCTTCTTGAGCTTGCCCGCAGACAGGTCGGGGACATCGTGCCAAGTGTTGTCGTCGGCAGGGCGATCGATCTGAGCCAGGTCGTCCTCGTTGGGGTTGACCTTGTTGGCGGTCTTTTGGGCCGCATCGCCGGCAATATCACGGATGAGGATGGTTGCGTCGTTCACTACGGAAGACTTCTGATTAGGCATTGCCATTGCCCCTGATCTTGCCCCGGGAAGGACTTACAAAGCTTGCGGAATTGACCGTTGGAGATGATCAAGGTGCCGAGCGTACGCAGACCCTCCAGAGCCTCGTTGCCGTGTTGCTTGGCACGATCCTTATCGACGGGGGCGCCTGGGAGGGTGTAATTACTGCTGCTGCCGAGTTTCTGGCATTGCCAGATGAAGTCTTGGAGGATGTTTCCATCATTCTTGGTTAGGAGCATGTACTGAGCTTGCTTGACGACAGCGCGGAAGTCAGCGACCAAGGCTTGGCCCTCGGCCGAGAGCTTCTTGGAGGGGGAGGCGATTGGGCTGGACGCCAGGAAGCTGTTGAGGGCGATATCAATCTGGTCGTTCTGTGGGTGAAATGATTAGCCATGTGAAATTGCGAAGTCGATCGGGGGGATCGTCAGTTGTTTCTCTGCTGGAGGTCCTGAGTCCCGAGGAGCTGCGCTGGGAGCGCGCCAGCGATGGCGACGGTGATCACTGTCGAGGTAGGACTTACCGATGGGACCTTGCCATTCTGGAACGCCGTGGCGATGCCGTAGAACTGCAGCTTTCGATTAACGTCTTCCTGCTTCTGCTTGACGTCCGTCGGCCTATTGACGGTGGCCGACATGGTTGCGGATTGGAGTCACGTTGTGTCTTTTGGGTATTTTAGATCGAAGGAGGGAGAAGGAGGGGGGGGGAAAGGGGAAGAGGAGGAGGAGGAAGAAGAGGAAGAAGAAGAAGAAGAAGGAGAGAGTATGTGGGAGTGCGAGATGGAAAGATGCGATTGTTCGATTATGGATGAGATCGAGAGCGGTGGTGGTGGTGGTGATGGTGATGGTGATGGTGATGGTGATGGTGATGGTGATGGTGAGCGCGATGGAGCGTGCGAAGAATGCGGGAGTCGCAAAGAATGCAAAGAATGCAAAGAACACAGAAAATGCAGAAAATGCAGGAAATGCAGAGAATGCAGAGAATGCAGAGAATGCAGAGAATACAAGAATGCAAAGAACGCAAAGAATGCGAGGGTAGTTTGTGTTTGTGATTCTGATTGTGTCTGTGTTCTGCGGCTGCTTTATTGTTGTTTAGTTGGGGGGGGGGGGTATCTTGATCGAGTGTTGTTAGGAGGGAGGAAGGGGAACGAAGGGAGAGTGAGGGAGAGGGAGAGGGAGAAGCAGGAGGAGAGCCGTGGACCAGGTACCACGGGTCTTCGTCCTCTACTGCTTGATGATGCCTACCTTTCCCTACCTTACCTATTACCAACTCCTTACCTACTTTGGCCCCCTCGTACCTTCATACAGACAGACTGTCATACTCCGACTTCCCTCTCCCCCTCCGTCTGTTTCGTCCTGCATTTCCTGCTTCTGCAAGCCGCGACGTGTGGCCCCGTCCTCCGTACCCTGGATGATGTCATCTGCCGGGGTGTGGGTGTGGGTTTGCCCTTGCCCTTACGGAGGGCTGAGAAAAGCTTGCTTCTTGCTTCTTGCTTTTCTGACTTGGCTGGCCTGGGTGGTTCCTTCTGTCGTCTGTACGCAGCGCAGCTCAGCTACAAGTGACGTACCCCATCCCTTCCCGTTGTGCTACGCGGGTACGAGATGGTCTCTGAGGCGGGTTGTGGCGGTCGTTGTGGCTGGCTGTGGCGGGAGCTCGGGCTGCAGCTAGAGCGAGAGCGAGAGCGAGAGCTAGGTACCTAGCAGTGACTACCCTGGGAATACATACAGAGCACAGAAAGTCGTATGCGTGCATTATTAGATCAGCTACTTGGGCACGTAGGTACTACTGCAACAATGCAATACAATATAGTCCAACACAATACAATACAACACACTCCATACATCTTGGCGTTGAAAGTCCAACACCGACATGAGGTGTGAGGCCATGACTGCAAGTACAGTCAGTATACGGAGATGTACCGTAATTGTGTCTCGGAACGAATGCACCACCGACTTCCCATCCCACATATGAGACCGCCCCGCTCATCTCCACCCCCCCCGTGCTTTCGCCTTCAACTCCCTGGCCGTATCGAGTTGGCTCTTAAAGTCACGGTACAGCGTTTTGATCTTGTTCTCCTCACCCCATCGGTCCACCACCTTGTTCGCTAGCCTGCCCGTGGTTAGCACCCCGCGCCCCCGAAGTATCTGGAGGGGAAGAGGGAAGGAAGGCCCCGTGTCTGCTCTTACTTCATCCGCTTCTTGCTCGTCATCTTCTCCCGCTCAGCCAACTTGCATGGTTGGAGATGGCCTTCTTCCTCGAGGCTACTGACAACCCAGTCGTTGAGATGCCACCGCCAGTGCACGAGGGTATGCGCCTGCTGCGCATTCTGTGCGCATACGCTACCCACCCACATTAATCAACAGTCACCGCCCTCGGGCAAGAACGGGGAGAGATGGACGGAATGGATGAATAGATGAGTGGATGAATACACGAATACATGAATAGATGAATCAATGAATGAATAAATCCATACCTTCCCGACATCCAGACCTTCTCTTGACTGGGCAGAGCAAATCCTTTGCTGTTTACACTTGCCTTGTCGCCGTCGTCAGATCCATCGCTGGCCGCATCCTCGGAATCGCTGTCGCCGTCGATCTCTTCCAAGGTGTCTTTTTGATACGCCTTGCCAGTGAACTGGAGCGCAAACGTGGGCTGGTGCTTCCGGTGATTGCAGGGCTGGCACTTGGCTTCTCCTAAAATCTCAACGCCTTCTCCTGGCCTGAGCTTCGTGACCCGCATCATAGGCCGGGCGTAGACGGCGCGGGTAAACTCGGCCGTCCACTGGGTAGAGACAAATTTGGAATCGGCATAACCAAGATACTCGGAATCGCTGGAATCATATTAGCGACGGTGCGGAGAGGGAAACTTTCTAGCCGGGCGTACAGTTTGGCAAATCCTTGCCGGTAGACTGGATCGTCACGGGCAAAGCCCGGGTTCAGTTTATTTTGTACCATCCACTCAATCACATCTCGGAAGTGCTCTTTGGGAGACTTGTGGGCAGCATGCGTAAATTCGAGAGGGATATCCATAGTGTAATCAGGAACACCGAGAGGGCCTTCGTCGTCCTCAATCACAAAATCAGACTCGCCAGCTTCTTCGTCGCTGCTATCCCCTCTCTGGCGTCTGACCTTGGCTCTTTTCCGGCTGGGAACGACCTCCTCGTCCTCTTCCTCCTCATCATCGTCGAAGAAAGTCAGCTTCTGGAACTCGTCATTTTGGTCATCATCATCATCATCTTCTGATTCGGATTCGGTTAGCTCTTCGATGCTCTCACCGGCCCGTCGACGTTTCAGCAATTCCATCTGCTTCTCCTTCTCGGTACGATGGCGACGAGTCACCTGTTGCCGGGTAGCACGGCCTGAAGATGCTGGCATGTCCGGGGACTCAGAAAGAGCTCGTCCTTTGCCTTTAGCTTTTCTTCTGCGTGCCAATTCCGCTACATTCGGTAGCTCCTCTTCCTCTTCGCTCTGTTCCTGCGTAGGAACGAATCGTGGTCGCTTGAGCGGAGATGGCAAGATGTCATCAGAATCGTCTGATTCCGTCGCTTTTCTTGACCGCTTCAGAGGGGATATTACTGGCGGTAGATCTTCGTCTTCGTCTGACACGATGTTCATCTTGGGCCTCCTGCGCTTTAGAGGCGAAGATCTGACGTCCTCGGAATCGGAGTCGGAAGCTTGCTGAGCGTTTTTATGCAGTGGTTGCTGCGAACGCTTCGGTGATGAGACAATTAAGTCATCATCTTCATCCTCCTCTTCTACATCGCTCTGAATCACGATAGGGCTTGGTTTCCTCGAGATTTTCGTGGAGACCGCTTTCACAGCACTATTGCTTTCCACCGTAGGCAGCAACATAACCTCGTCTTCGCTGCTGTCGGGCAAGGGCGCTTTTCTTGGACGTCCGCGGCCTTTTTTAGGGGCCACAGTCTTCGCTGCAGTGCTCTTCGTAGCTCCTTGCAACACTGACACCTGGCTGCTTCTTTGAGCTCGCGATCGAGTAAGTCTCGGGGTTTCATCTTCACTGAGCCCGATACATTCTGGTAGCTTTCCTCGGGCCTTACCGGAAGGTGTCAAAGAGTTCTGTTCTACATCGGACCCATCGGACGAATCTGCTTCTTCCAGACCAGGTTTACGACTTTTCTTCTCTGCAGCTAGAAAGCCAGATCTTCGAATGCTTGAAGGCAGGCGAACATTGCCATATTCCGAATCTTCTTGAGGTGTAGCTAGAACGAAGTTAGGACAGGTAAAGTGACAGAGATTGCGTGACATTGTATGTATTCACACAATATAAACAATCCCAAAAATAGAATACCACACCAACCATACCAATCGGATAACCAGGCCTAGCCTGCGGGATCGTTCCCGGCGCAGGAAGTGTCTTGAATAACTTCTTCGCGAGATTTGTCTTTCCCCGCGCCGGCGTGGTGTCGACTGCATTACCCGACCTCCGCGCAGACCCCAGGACCTCATCCTCACTGCTTTCTTCCTCATCTACGGCGACCTTCGGGCTTGAAATTGTCTGCCCACTTTTGCCCGCGCGTTCGTATCGAACTTTTGCAGGAGCCATGCTTGATGGTGCCGAAGAAGAGCTGGGAGCTGGCTCGAAGGTCAAGCGCGTCTGTCGTTTGCGTCGCGCTTTGCGCTCGATTTTGGGGGGCATTGTTCCGACTTTTGCCTTTTCTCTTGTGGTATCAGAGGGTGAAGGGTGCGTTGGCTGAAAACGGCTGTTGACTCTTGTAGTGGGGTGGCTGCTTGCGTCTTGCAGTTAGGGGAGACTGACTGCAGGGTCGACGGCAGATGATACTGATTTCGCAGGGCGACGATAGTAGCGTGCGATAGTGATCGTGGATGGGTGGGTGGGTAAACTGCTAGAAGTGTGATCGCGGATCAGAAACAACTGAGAATCCAGCATCCCACTTGTACAGGCTTTACACGTCAAAGGTCGCGCTAGCACGTGACTCTAGAAGAGCCGGATTGACAATCACTAAATCTCCTGTACAGGCAAGCAACAGAAAATACCTGATATATTTAGCATCTTCTATGCGATTATGGCAACGGAAAACAAATTCCGGAATAACTTTAGAAAAATCACTGCACATGCACAGTCCTCTACAACGCCTTATATTCGACACATCCACGCCTTCTATAGTACAGGTGAGAAGACATAGCTCGAAGAGTGGAGACGAGGTGAGTGTGCGCCGGTATTTTACAAGGCAAGCAACGGAACTCCTTTTCCCATGCCCCACCATCCATCCGACCCATTTCGCTATAAGCAGATTTATACAATGGAGCAGGCTTTGACCCGGCTAAGTCTCCCGGAGCCCCCTCAACAGCCCCCGCGCATTTCGAATAGTCGTCTCTTCAGCAAAGACCGTTTACTTGATAATCCGAGTGACCAAGCCAGTAGCGACGGTGCGGCCTCCCTCACGGACATTGAACCGCTGTCCGACCTCCACGGCAACAGCCTGGTGGATCTCGCATCTCATCTCGACGTTATCTCCGGGCATGACCATCTTCGAATCAGCATCTTCAGTTCCCTCCGGCCAGAAAAGCGCAGCTGCCTCATCGGCTGTGCGCAAGAAGATTTGTGGGCGGTAGTTTTGATGGAATCCGGTGTGGCGTCCTCCTTCCTCCTTGGTCAACACGTACATGGACACCAAGAATTGCTTGTGCGCCTTCGTAGTTCCGGGTTGCACGATAACCATTCCACGACGGACATCTTCACGCTTGACACCTCTGAGCAAGAGACCGGAGTTGTCACCGGCGCGGGACTCTTCGCAGGACTTCTTGAAGGTCTCGATATCGGTAACCTTGGTCTTCAGTGGTACGTCTCCCTTTCCGACGAGCTCGACCTCCTGATCTCTCTTCAGGGTACCACGCTCGACGCGGCCGGACGCGACAGTTCCACGACCGGGGATGGAGAATACGTCCTCGACGGACATCAAGAAAGGCTTGTCAAGATCACGTTGAGGGGTTGGGATCCAGCTGTCGACAGCGTTCATCAACTCATCGATCTTTTGCTCTCCAATCTCAGGTCTGCGGCCATCCAGAGCGCAAAGTGCCGAACCAAGGACAATTGGTGTCTCCTCACCCTCGAAACCGTAAGTGGTAAGTAGCTCACGCATCTCCATCTCAACCAATTCCAACATCTCCGGGTCCTCCAATGCATCGACCTTATTGACAAACACTACAATCTTCTGGACACCGACCTGTCTGGCGAGCAGCAGATGTTCTCTTGTCTGGGGCATTTGTCCATCAGAGGCGGCAACGACGATCACAGCTCCGTCCATGTTGGCAGCTCCCGTAATCATATTCTTGATGTAATCGGCGTGACCGGGACAGTCGACGTGGGAATAATGGCGGGCATCAGTCGAGTACTCGATGTGTGCTGTCGAGATGGTGATTCCACGCTTCCGCTCCTCTGGCGCCTTGTCAATGGAGCCGTAGTCGAGGAAGCTGGCGAGGCCCTTCTCGGCCTGTCTCTTGGTGATGGCTGCTGTCAATGTTGTCTATCGTGTGTCCCATCAGTCCCCATTTTCCCTATGATACTCGCCTCCAATCGTAGATTCGCATACCTTGCCGTGATCAACATGTCCGATTGTACCTATTCCGATCAGTCAATCTCCTAAAGATCAACAGAAGGGACCTTACCAATGTTAACATGGGGTTTCGTGCGCTCGAAGGCAGTCGCGTAGGTCCTCGCAGCATTTAACACCGATGCTCCTCCATTCTGGCGGCATAAGGCGTGGAACAGAGGGCTGACGGAATTGCCCTGCTGCAGGGCAGCCCGAGATGTCCGCAGGAAGGGAGCGACTGTGCGTACAAACGCCGGCATTGTGGAGTATGAAAATGGATGAAAGAAAGAGCTGCAAAGAGAAAGGCTGTCGGAGGCGATGGAAGGGAACTGGGAGTTAGTTGATGATGGGGTTGAACTCGTCTCACAAGATATTTTTCTTAGGTTAGCTTAGGTATTTTGCAGGGTTCTATAATCTTGCACGTGATTCGCTCTGTTTCTTCCGGGGGCACGGTATAGGTTCAGGTATCAATTGATAACCCGGATATCTATGCCTCTTCTCTATACACAAGCTCCTCACTCTGCCCAAACGCATCGAGTCTGGTACACCCTATCGCTTATACAGGTTCAAGATATGAGCTACCTCCATGGGGACTCTCGGCAGGATTAACAGCAGACAGCCTCGAAGCTCTGGTCGCCTTGATCTCCACAGGATCATCGTCAGAGTATGCACTGCGCTGTCTGTCGTCTCTCGAACCGCTGACCATGAATCGGATTTTACTGCTTCCAGCCTCTTCGCCGTCGCCCGTGTATATCTCGCCACTGTCGTCCGATCTTGGTGTATCAAGCATTCCTCCTAGCCGAGGTCGGAAGATGCCTGAATCCCCTTGACCTTGTGTCTGCCAGGCCATGAGCATGACCTCGACTTCTTTTCGGGCATCTTCAACGATGTCATCCATGTTGATGTCGATTTTCGCGACTCCGAACGGATCTTCGTATGTCTGGGCTATCCCTTCGATGCCGTATCTTCGTCGGGTCAGCGAAGTCGTATGTTCCATGGAAAATGGATTCACACTTACAGAGTGAAAGCCACGAAAGCTACAAGCGGTACCGCCCACCAATCCATTTCCGATGCCATTGCAAAGGGAAGAATGCCGCAAAACAAGGCAAGGGTCTGCTTGTGGTGGATTCTGCGATGCTTTCAGTTCGAACACTGTAGTCATTGCGGGAGAAGTGGACATTTAAACGTACAAGTGTGCAACCGGGATCGGTACAAGGCGGATCACCTCCATACTTCCATACGCTGACGTTAGTGAATTCAGGGAGGAGAGCATAGATGACGAGGCTGCGTTATGGAACCACCCTCTGTGGAAAGTGTTAGTATAGTTTCAAACGCACGCGGGTGTGGTCGTACTTTCTGACTCCCGTCGAGATGAACTTCTCTATGAAAGTGGACAGCTCTAAAGTCAGTCCAAGGCCTCTATGCTCATATCCCTTCAACCCAGGAGGTAACAGATCCTTGTACTCGTCCCCAGTACTTTCCTGTCCGCCAGGGCCGAGCATAGTCCCGGGACTGAGAGCTACTCCCCACTCAGCTCTCAGATGGTTCTTGATCGTGTATAGCATAGCAATCAATATCTTGACCGTTTCAATGGTCTTGAGCTCATCAGCCCTTGAGAGCGGGATATCTGCAGCCGCAGTGGTTTTGTCTGGGATGGCAGTATCCTTCGACACAGTCCTTCCACCCCGGGGAAGGAATGAATCATTTGATGCAACTGACAGTAGTCCGACTGTCGACGGAGCTGGCACGAGAACCAGGATTTGTCGGGAGAGACAGCGGATAGCTGTTGTGACGGTAGCGAGATGGCATCGACCACCCCAGAAACGAGAGTAGGCCGTTTGATTTCGGAAGACTAGCATAAGACCCACTACGATGGATAGAGAAGGAATCTGTTGATAGTCAGAAATATTCCTACCTAGAAAATGGCTCGGTGGGCCTGGCGGCAAAAACACGGCCTGGTCAAAACCTACGATGCTGCTTGGGAGATTGAAATCGCTGTTGATGTGTTGATTGACATAGACGACAAATGCTGCCAAAACAGAATGTATAAATACAGGGACGAAGATCGTGCCATGAATCGAGCCTTTCCAAAACCGAAGGACGAGCGGCCATCTTGTTTATCGTCAGTGTTTATGTAGCCGATGAATTTGGGTTGAGGTAAACAGGAAACGTATTCTACCGTCGGTCCTTCTTCCTTGAGCTATTTGCTAGGGGGCTGTCAAGCTCGAGTTAGTCAAACAAAAAGCGGAATGGGAAAATGGGAAGCGGGTGTGAGTCTGCTCGAGTCTGCTCGGTAAGCACTGTATGGGAAACCCAAATGATGCCCCTGCAGGAGCCCGTCACACGAGCTTCGAGACGGAGGAGGGCTGCTCACTACGTTGTTTGTCGTCTTCTCGTTGTATCCGTTACGAAGCTCCGTGGGAACAACGACACGCGCCGCGAGAATGAGAAGGGCATCGTGTAGAATCACAATACCATGATATTCGAATCCAGAGTCTGTACGAAGTATGTCTTGACGTTTTACAATGGAAAGGCGGTGATGTTTGATAGAGGTGCGAAAGAGGAAGTCGTAGCCTTGCATGCATGGCATTCGGATCGGATACTTACGGAGCCAGGTCCGAGAAAACTTTCCTTATTAAGATCAATCTTGAACGCTCCAGACGAGTGAGATACAATATAGGTACAATAGGGCAGGCTTGTATGGCAGATTCAAAGGAGGTAAAAGTACTGGGGAATTTGATTGTACCTTCGTATAACATTATATTCTTCGTGAGATGAGATCTATGATTACAACGACAGGCCGTGCATGACCTTGAACCCTTCCCCTTGTGCCATCCATCCCTACACACTGATATACAATCCAGTCGTTCATCCGATGTCTAGTGGAGGAAGTGTTAGCTGCCGTGATTGTTCCGGTATTGCCAAACTTTAGTGAGTTGGAGGTTGTGTGCTCAGGGAATGTGTAACGTTTTGAGAAGTCGACATAGGCCGGAGCCGTCCGGATTGGAATCTCAGTTGTATCATCATAGCAAAGTAAAAAACGCAGGAAACGTATACCGACTCACTTTGTGGTACGCCTGAATCTGAACCCGACTCCATGATATTTTACAAAGCCGCGTTCGATTGCTGCGCACCCAATTGGGCATTCAAAGCACCGCCGGAACCAGAGAGGAGCTATGTGAATAGTTAGCAGGTGACATGGCAGTTGAAGAATAGTCAGCGATAGCGCATACAGTTTCTCCGGCCTCGCGCATCTTGAACTCCTTCTCCATCTCGAGCATCTGTTGCTCCTCCGCGTATGCCAACGCCCAGGGGACACCCAAGAGCAGCGCACTTGTGCTAATAACAAATAGCGTTTGGCCACTAAACAGAAGGCCTGATTTGATCCAGCTTGTAGTAGTCTCGACCTTGCTGGCGATGTATGATCGGGTGGTCGGAGGCACTATGTCTCGGAGGGCTGCAATTCGGTCTGCGAATGTTTCTCCATCGGCGACGTTATCTTCATCGTCCGTGGAGATCTCAGAGTCTACGGTACCTGTTAGTAGTCACTATGCGACCCGCTGGGATGGTTGGACCAACCAGTGTCGGTGTAGTAGTCGTCCTCGTCGGATGGTCCAGCTTGCTTGGTCTCGAAAGACTCGTCCTCGACTTCTACCAATTCGACCATTTTATTGTATTGTGGAGAAAATTATCTGGGAAGGTGGAATTGGAAGTCGGCTTCGATGTTTCGCTGCGGAGTGCTGAGTTGTAGGTGAGGCTGACGTTGATGTTACTGCGAGAATAAAATCCAGCTGGACTTGATCAGGATGTTTGTGAGCACGGCCCTTAGCCTTGAGCTTGGAACCCTGGCAATCCATCACGTGAACTGGTTCTACTTTCGTGTGCTCAAATGGATTTTTCGCGCTACGGAAAGGCCGGGACCAGATAAGAGCCGACGAACACAACAAAACACATTCTGCTCTTCATCGATTCCAAAATGTCCCAGTGAGCTCGATTTCCAAAGACTCGTCTCATCTCGACTTTCTGCAGCCTTAAGAAAGCCCAATACGCGCTCCTTACCCCCTCCAAGAGCTGAAAGTTCGTTACTGCACAGTTGCGCAACGAATTGCCGACTAAATTGAGTGTCTGATCGGGTTCTTTCATAGCACGCATTGGACATAGCGATTATGGCAGATCTACATCCAATTGTCATTCCCCCATTGGCATATACCTACAAATCAATCAAGTTTACCTGCTCCGGCGAAGGACTCTACAAAGACGGATACCTCTACGATCCAAATGCCGAGAAGTTGATCCCGCCCAAGACACCGAAAGCCGTTGCCGGATCAAGAGAACTGGAGAAGAAACCTGTCGCGTTTTGGAAAGCGCAATGCGCCTTTCGGGGATTGAATCAGACAGGAGCCATTGCGGACTTGCAGCTTCGACTTCGAGAGGCAAAGAAGAAGATTCTTCCTGAACTGAAGAATGCCGAGACCGAGCTAAACAAAGAATTCAAGAAGAAGAACAATGCTGCTAGAAATGAGTCGTGGAAGTCTCTCAAGACTGTGGAGCAGAAAGCAAAGGAGAATCCGCGTAAATTCTTGACTGAAGCCTTCCCGAAAGGTACTACAGGACGACCAGCGAATCTGGATATCATTGTTCTGAAGATTGGGGCTGACGATCGCTATGCGGTCACGAACGCCGCGGAATCGATGGGACTCGAAGCTGTGTCGGTTGATGCTCCTTGGACCAGCAATAAGAAGCCATTTCCCGATCGATGGGTAATTATTGGGCGCACGAGGGACGCTGTTTGGAACCTGATGAGAGAAATCGAACGTGAGGTTGAAAGAAGTAAGCACGAATTTGCAGCGGAGAAAGCAAACAACCCCCCCAAGGGAAGTTCCAAGCCAGATGCGCATAAGACCTCGACTACGACTCTTAAAAAGGAAGCCAAATCTACTGCAAGCTCCAAGCCGCCTGTTCCAAAGGCCTCCACCGCCCCTGTCAAGAAGGATGGCAGACTCAATTCGGCACCAAAAGTGAAGCAAGAATCCAAGTCGAGCCCGGCCCCAAAAGCAAGGCAGGAAGGGCAGCTTGTAAATCCTCCCCGGGCGGTAGCTCGAGCAGCTTCGCCTCACCGCAAGGACTCTGCACCCAAATCGGAGCGTTCCACAGCAAAGCAAACCGTTAGCAAGAACGTCGTTCGAGATTACCATGCACCATCATCTCATAAAAATGAACCATTGGGTCCTGTTGTTGATTACTCCTGGGAAGTGTGCGGCTCATTTGAGATCACTTGTCCGGCTATCGACGAACAATGGGGAGGCCAGGGTAATCATTCCATGAAGCTGGACCTGCACTTTGAGACAAAACATGGGAAGCGTCAGTTCTATGGCGTTTTCGATTTCTTGGTCGTTGCTGGTATTATGAGATTTGAAAAGCCAATTCCTGTCTCAAAGACCGACAACAAAATGGAGTCATCAAAGAAGCGGAAACGCGACGAACCAGATGAGGATGGAGACATCCAAATGGACATGTACCCCGAATTTACGGGGGACGACAGCGGAGATTATACCGAGAAAGTTTTCTTCCTCGGGAGCAGCGACAAGCCTACTGCCAGGAGGCCAATCTGGCGATATCGATGGCGCGGGTTGGCAGGTCGGGGGGGTGGAATACAGGTCGGGTCCGATAGGGCGGTTCGTTCGATGACTTTCAGCCAGAAGGGTAATCATTTGTCCGGGTCATTCAAATGTGACCTTCTCCCCGAATTCTACTTCGAAGGAGTCAAGGTTCGGTCTCGCCCTGGCAACGAGCATGCCGATCCAGAAGCACTGTGGGTGAACGCGATCGAGGCTGCACATGAATATGCTGGAGGTTGGGAATGGTGAGGTCGAGGATCGAAATCGATAGTTGTAATGGCATATCTTGTTCATCTTGTCTGTTGACGTCACTGTAGCAGAGTTGAAGGAAGCTAGTGAAGGGGAGGGGGGGCAAGGGAGGCGTGTTCCAGAAATTGGAAACATCTTCGCGCGATCTGTGGGTTGTTATGGATGAATGATCCACTTACTACAGTATGGGGAGCGGAGGTGGCTGTTGGCCAGTAGCCAGCAGGCTTTGCTCATCTACCGTACCACAACATCCCTGGCAAGTCTCTCGTGCTTCTTGTAGTAGTATAGGTACCGGTAATAGTCAGTGGGTGACACTTGCTTGACCTGACCATAACCGAGAGCCCGCAGGTTTACAGTCAGCACACTGACTTTCATAGATGTTCGGTCATCACATCGTCAGGTCTGACAGAATTCAAATGGTCCTCCGATTGCATAGTGCTTATACTGTAAGTGACCCAGTTCTCGGTTTTCCGAGACCATCACCACTGGACTGGCTCTAGGGAGTATCGAGTGTGCCAATCTGAATCATGCTGAATAGGTACCGGTACCGGTAGACCAGGACGGTAAGCGTGCGCTCCTCAGGCAGGCGGTCTGTCGACTTACGCAACTTGAAATCCTTAGGCGGCGAAGGCTTATTATAGTTGTAGGATATATTAGGCGGGCGTAATAATATTTGCGAAAGGATCATATCCTTTTCGTTCCCAGCTCGGCGGGCCCCCTAAATATAGCCTCCTTCCTTAGTTATTTGACGCGATACCTATTACGGCTGGCAAGGAAGAGAGAGAGAGAGAGAGAGAGAGAGACTAAATCCGGAGCGATCTAGAAACGTTACAATTTTTGTCGAGAGATTGCATATGAAAGGCAAGTAGACCGCTTGAGATTTTCATATGGATGCAGTCATGCGTCCGTCATGCTACCTCGAAGAAAATGCCGCGCGGATGAGGCATTAGGCATTGCTGACAATTTTAATGTTTCTCGCTTGCATGCCGGTCGGCGAGGTGTGTGAAGGTGGGGTATAATATATCTGTATTAATAGAAAGCGTGGGACCGGAAGGACGGAGTACGGTAGTACTTACTACGTACGTAGTAGTAGTCGATCACAGCTTTTGTCTGCTTTGTTTGACGCACGGTTACGGATTCACATACCCAACTAACGGAGTATTGCTTACGCCAGAGGAAGGACGGGATGATAGGATGGAAGGGTGATATTCATGTAGGTAGTAGGTAGTACCGTAGTAGTATTCGTATACTCCGTAGGTAGGGTGTGGGCTATGCAGAAGGGGATCTGTGCCTTTTTGATTTCGAAGGACCTCGGGGGTCATAGCGGGGGGGTTGGTGGGAGGGATGGGGAAGGATAGGGAGGGATGGGGAGGGATGGGGAGGGATGGGTTGCTGATGGGACGGTGATGGGATGGTGATGGGATGGTGATAAGATGGTGATAGGATGGAATTGTCTGATCAGAGAGAACGTTATGAAACGATAGCTTTGGCACGAACGGTAGATCCAACTATTTTCAGATGGCTCCCTTGTCAAGAGAGACTAGCTAAGACCTAGTCAGAAGTCCAAGCACTGCATCATATCGGCTTGAGTCGCATCTTGGCCTTGGGACGAAATAAGCCGTTACTGTAGGTTACTGGACTCTGGAGTTAGTAGTACTACCTACTACTACTAAGTACTAGTTCAAAGTCAAGTCAACAAAGAGAACCCCCCCCCCGGTTCCATCGGGTGGGTAATAACAAGTCAACAGTACGGAGTAAGGCACCAACCAACCCCATCAATCAGCTCAAATCACTCGGCTCGTCGTCAGATCAGGGGTAAGTAACGGCTTACAGATTATAGACACCACGCCCCTAGAAGTACCTAGAAGCCGAAGCAAACATAACATAACAAAACAAAACAAAAATAAAACAAAACAAAACATAATTCCCGAAATATCTGATCTTCAACGCGGCCTGGACGAGAAGAGAGGAGGCAGGACCCGGGAAGACAGACAGACAGACAGACAGGCAAGCAGACGGATTTTCCTCTCGCCTGCACTTCTTACTTCGATATCCGAAGGCCTACCGGTACCTACCCATACCCACCTATCATCTACTCACCCGGGCACTCCTCTACGCCGCCGTCTCTATTTTGGTATACTTATTCGCTTCCGTCCAGAGCCTGCCGGGCCCGGAGGAGCTGGCGCTGGCCCCGGACCCGTATCGATGTTATTGAATCCCCCTGGAAACGATTCCCGCGATTTTTTTTTCCTCTCGCGACCGCGAACTCGAACGCAACGCACTGCACTTCCGCAGCACCAGGACCAAGACCACAAACAACCAGAACCAGACCCAGGACCAGGACCATGTCGTTGAATGGCCTGGACGATCCAAAGATCAAGGCGGCCCACGAGGCGGCGGTAGCAGAACCCGGGGGATGGTAAGCTTCCTGCAATCCAAGCCCCGAACATCCTGTCTGCCCCGGCTGCGAGACCGACGCAGTCTGTTTAATATCTGCTTGCTTACACATACGCTGCACAGGTTTCTCCTCCGCTACGCTTCCCGGGACGATGTTGAGCTGGCAGGCCGCGGGAACGGGGGCATCGTCGAGATCCGGAACGCGATTGCGAACTTCGAGGTCGAGGAGCCGGCGCCTTTATATGGCTTTCTGCGATACAGAAGGAGGAATGTCGTGATCAGCTACGTACCGGAGGAATGTTCCAGATTGGTACAGGGTGGGTTCTCCATCTCCCTGGTGTCAATTTCCATCTCGATCTCGGTTGGGCCAATGCTAACTACCTACCCTACCTCTACAGCACGCGTGACGGTGCACTTGACTGCTGTGACAGAACGCTTCTCCCCCCACGACACCGAGTTCCCCATCACGACGGCGAGGGAGTTGCGGGATACGAGCCTCTCTGCCGCATGCTCTCTACATACCGCCTCAGGCTCCACGTCCTCCTCTACAAGTTCTCTGCGGCGGAGGCGTTTGATGGAAATCGCAGAGGATGCGGAGGAAGAAAACCGAGCCAAAAGACAGTCGACAGTCCCTGAGGAACGCCCCTCCGCAGAAAAGACAGAGGCTCTACCCTCCCCACCCTCTCCATTTCCAGAGCTGCCGAAGGCCGTACCCGAAGCCACTTCCTTCAATTCTATGATCAGCGAGGCCGGATCATATTCTTCTCCAGGCAAAGGAGCGCACGACGCTGACATGGGGCTACGATTTCCTGCAACCGAACGACGAGAGTCTCCTCACTCCACGCGACCGGATCCGTACTACAGACCCTCATCTTATGGTTCGAGCGGAGTACGGCCCAAGGTCAAACTGGGCCCAAGGCCATCACTCGATGCGGCAGCCGTTGGAGGGAGACCACATACTTCTGGATCAGCGTACCTCCGTCCCGTCGCGACACTGCCCGTCGGAATCAAAATGGTCTCGAGGGGGTCGAGAAAGGAGAAAGAGAGAGAAAGACAGCCTGGAGATCCCCCTATCATGACCATTTCGCCGCCTCCAATGGGCGATGCAATGCTGGCACCGGGGCACTATGTCTCCATTCGACCCCACACTAGTGGTGGCAGACCGGCATCAAGATCCGAGCCATTGCCGTCTCCTACTGTGTTATCGCCTACCTCGTTTTCAGCTCCCAAGACACCCATCATAAAACCAGAAAAGGCTCGACTGATGAAGGCTCTCGAACTTCGTAACAAGAAAAAGCTAGATGCGGTTACTCCTCCCGAGCGGTCATATCCCTGCTCTCCCCATAGTTTGGCCAGCCCCGTCAGCATAGGTGACGCTACATCGACGGGGGCTCCAAAGGAAGCAGACGACCCTTTGGCCGCATTGGACCAACTGGTCAGAGCGGACGACTCTGGAATCTCGTTTGATGGCAGCTCAGCAGTAAGGACAGATGAATCGGACGCGACAAGGTCTGATTCTTATCCGGTCTCCCCTGTCGGTCCTTCCGAAATGGCTGAATCGACCAAGGCCTCGTCAATATCCGAATCGACTGACGAGACAGTTCTAGAGCCTACTGACGTCAAAGAAGAGCCGCGGGTAAACGAGGAGACAGAGGAGACAGAAAAGGGCAGTCACGACGAGACCACTGCCATCACTAACATTATTAATGGCACAAGCCTTCTTGAAGCACCTGAGGAGCATTTGGAGCATTTGTCATCCGCGGTCCCCAACCCGTCTCATGAGTATGTGCAAATTACGGCATCGGACACGCCTGAAGCAGAAGTCAAGGGCACTCGTGAGAAACAAGCACATCCTGAGGCTGATCCGCTATGCGAGCCAGCCTCGCAGCCGTCGGAAATCCCGGAGACAGAAGCGAGCGGTGCTTCGTCTAACGCGCTGCCAATCCTACAGGATGAGAAGACGGAAGCCGCACCAGACTCGGACTCAAATGAAATGCTGTCAGAACCCAGTGCCCAAGATGCAGAAGGTATCTGCGAAACGTCGTTACTCAGCAATGATGCCGAAGTTGTAGCTCCCGAGGGATCGCCAGTGGGAAGCACTTTCTCGGCCGGGTCTGAAGAAATTTCCGGCATTCAGAAGCCTAGGCTTAAAGGCTGTATGGAACCCATCCGGACAGACATGAAAGTGGCGAGCCATAGTCGCTCAAACTCCGAGACCCAATTTTTGTCTGATGATGATTTCATGGACGAGTTATCATCTGCGGTCGTACAAGAGGCACAGCCAATGTCCGTCTCGAAATCGCCTGTCGGTTCCCCCTTCCCGAGCTCCAAGAAGCAGAATTCAGAACAGGGCAGATTCTCTCGTGTCTTTTCTACGCCCGTGCGAAAGGAGAAAACAGATACTTCTCTGTTGGAACCCCCATCTGATGAGCAGCGACCACCCTCTAGGTCTCTATCTGCTGGGGCTGCCTCCTATCTCAACCGCATCAGTCAGCAGCAAAGTTCACCCCTGGCTAAGAAAGTTAATCTCGGATCTGGTATCTCCCAAAGGATCAAGGCCCTCGAGAAGTTATCAAGTCTGGCCCCGGGTGATGGCGCACCGACAACTGGCCCTGCACAGGGCGCATCCACCGCCTTCTTCTCAGTCCGTAAAGCGAATGCTCGTGGAAAATCGCCGACCATCGCTGAGCGTACGAACTCATTGACACTCAGCTCGCCGGGGTTCTCTCTCGAATCCTCGCCATCGCCAGATGGTAGTCGGATGGATATCTTCACATCTGCCGTGGTCCCGAGCACCCCACCGACCGGCTCGCAGCCAGAATCTATATCAGTCACCGCACGAATAGTTCGGGATCCCTCCCATCCCTTCCCAGCAATGTCAGAGGCTGGGAAAGATCCATCGGAGTATGCTCCTTTAGACCTTAAACAGTCCCCTCTGGTGATAGACCATCAAAGGGCTGTTGCCCAGCCTCCTCGAGAGACACATCTGGAACCACGACTTCCCGAAGAAGAGCGTTTGTCTTCTTCCAAAGTGACAATCGCAAATGAACGGAGATCCTCGGCCTCAATCATCAAGGATCTTATCAGCGAAGGCAGAACATCCTTGTCGGAGCGTCGTCGGTCATCTAATATTGAACATTCTGTCTCGATTCCTTCTGTGAGATCCTCTTCCCGCCCGTCCTCTCTTGGTACATCTCCCACCAAGCAGCGGCCGTTGTCCTTCAATAGTCGCGTATCAACTTCTTCTCGTGACCATGGCAAATCTCTGTCACCGCCGCCTACCGCGGGCTCTTCATCTTCAACTGGCACTGCGAGTGATGAGAAGTCTGATAAGAAGTCCAATCGAGCAAGTAGGATGATGCGCCGGATGTCTTCTTCCTTGTCCGCGAGTCGCAAAACTCTTGCCCACGCCATATCTCCTACCGTCCGCGAAGAATCCGAGCCGTTGTCACTCGGCGACGCTCACACACTCGCTCCCTCACCCATGTCGCCCACTGGTCTCGACATCGGCGACGTCAATGTCCAGTTCCCTGATAGTCTACTGTGGAAGCGACGATCCATGGTCCTTGACTCACAAGGCTTCCTCATCATCTCCCCTGCTCTTTCAGCCCATGGAAATGGTCGTGACAAGTCTAATGCTGGAGCAACGCGCCGCTTTCATCTCAGTGAATTCAGACCACCTTGTATCCCTGACGTTGAGATGCAGGAACTACCCAACAGTGTTGTATTGGACTTTATTGACGGCGGGGGACTGCAAGTTGCTTGTGAGGATCGCTTTGGCCAAGGGCGCATCCTAGAAAGTAAGCTCCACAAGTACCGCTCTTTTTTTACCTCGACTGACACAGAACCAGCTCTTGAAGAGGCTCACCGCTCATGGGAAGCCTACGGCAATGAATAGACCCAATTTCAGGCCTTGCCGCTTCTATGGTCAAGACATATCTCACACGCACACACATAAATCTTCTTGTCGATACTAGGCGTCTCGCATTATCTACAGGATATATGCATGTACTACGATGTCTTAATGCCGTGTTCTAATTCCTGTTTGCATATGTAGTCTTTCGTCTGCCTCGAAGAGGCTCCTGCTAGATACCAGATCTCTTCGATCAAACGAACCTTTTGTTTTGTGTTATGTTAATAAACTTGCCCGAGCATGCGGGGTTCTTGATTAGGTCAGGTTTAGCGTGCAGCGAGAGCGAAGAATGCACCGTCGCATAAGCAATAGGTGTTTCGGGATAGGCAATGAAATTGAGAAGTTTGAGGTATTTGACTTTCCTCCCTGTGCCCGCTATGAGAAATCATTTGGGTGTTGCGACTTGGGGGTCGTGTCGTCACCCTCGGTGAACCCATCTTTGCGCCCGCTATCAAATCCACGTTTGCATTTTGTCTTCTGTACCGGTGTGGCTCCGCCCTCAGCACGCGCGCGATCTTTCACATTTCCCAAGTCCGATTCATACCCTCTCTCCACGTCCTTCCGGATTCCCGTTCTCTTCCTTCGCTCTCATCTCCCCTTTCTTTTTCAATGGCCTGAACAGAAATCGCTCGCAATGCACAAGTACACTGGCTCCGCAGGCACGCTAGCATAATTCTTAAACTGGTAATACTTGTAAGGGCCTTTTTTTTTTTTTTTTTCATGTGCCGCCTTGAAACATATTATATCAACCAATACAACACCAAACAAGCGAGGATCGGGTTTACCTACCTACGATGTTAAGAAGAGCTTAGTAAAATATATATTTATATATATAGAGAGAGAGAGAGAGAGTATTCATAGTTGGTTTCTGTGTTGATTCATGCCTTCTTTGCTAACGTTACGTCAACAAATTGATTATATCCTCGCTCTTTCCATTAGCAATATATATATATATATATATATATACCTTGATGAAAAGGCATCGGAGAGCCAGTAGGGTACACAGGTACGGTAACATCGCCATGATAAGTTCTTATGGTTCAAAAGCAATGGCGAAATGCCTGGATAGAGCTTGATCAAAGCGTATTGATGTTTGGGATGATTAGTATCCACCGCTTCCTCCGAAATGGATGATAAGTTGTGAATCTACCATGTTTCACAGAAAAGCCAACGAGTGGCCGATACGCGTAAAACCGCAATCATGTAACCGTTCGAGCCGTCTAGGGGGCACGTCTGAACTCCAGTGCAAAGCAGTAACAGCACATGATAACATCCAAGTCCACGGAAGCGAGGCCGTTTGCCTCACTTACAGGGGGATATCTTTATACTTCTCGGCCCATTCGTCGACCTTGTTGAGCAAGACCTTCTTTCGCTCAGCTTCGCACCAACTTCCCTCGATAGCCGCAACAGCGATGAACTTCCACTCCTTCAAGCTCAGTTCAAAGGCCTCCTGTACCGATTCGTAGTTGTCAAGTATATATCCACCGAAGTATGCAGGGTCCTAGATCACAGGAGAGTCAGCGGATGACACTCACGGGTATTTCGGCAAGGAATTCCATAATCCCTCCCAACCCACTCCCGAGACAGGATGAGGAGGAAAAGAGGCTGGCCCCCATGGTCTCACATCGCTATTGATAGAAAACCTGATACCCTCGTCCACGAACGTTCTGACGGGCAGCTCTGCGACCTCTTTGACACATCTCAGTCTGACATTACTCAACGGGCACATGGTCACCAGAACTTGATCCCTGGCAACCCTCTTCAGCAGCGTCTCGTCCTCCACCAACCGGATGCCGTGATCGATCCGCTCCGTCTTGCAAAGGTCCAGTGCCCTCGAGATGTAAGTCGCGTCCCCTTCCTCGCCTGCGTGCGCCGTCCTCCGGATCCCAGCCTCGCCCGCCGCCTGGTAAACCTCGCGGAAAATCTCCGGCGGGAAGCCAACCTCGCTGCTGTCCAGCCCGATACCAGCGACTGTTCCACTGGAGAAGTGTCCCGACGCTTCGGCAGCTCGATACGTGTCCATTGCATCGCTGGCGGGAAGGTGGCGCAAGAAGCATAGGATTAACGTCGATGTCAGTCCGTAGTCCTTCGCCGCTCGTTTCTGGGCTGCCTCTAGTCCGGATACGACCGTCTCGTATGCGACGCCCCGGGAGGTGTGTGCCTACTAAGCGGATTAACACTGATTGATGCCTAAGTCCTGGGGAACAGAAGGAAACTCTATAATTCTGGTCCCCGAACAATGGTCCCGCCCAATAAATTTTTTTTTTTTAAAAAAAAATGATCGAGAGATGAGGGCGGGAATGCTGACCTGCGGATCGAAGAAAATTTCGGCATGATGAACCCCGTCTCCGTTGGCTCGAGTAAAGTACTCGTAGGCCAGAGCCTCAAAGTCGCCAGCGGTGATCAAGGCCGACATTCCGATAAAGTAGTAGCGGAGAAAATCATCGAGAGAGGCGAAGCGGGTATAGCGATCTTCGAGAGCCTCGGGGGAGGCAAAGGCGGGATCCGTCTCGATGGAAGGGAGCGAGATCTTATTTGTAGCTGCGAGACGAAAGAGGAGGCTTGGTGATAGGGAGCCTTCAATATGGAGATGGTGCTCACACTTGGGCAGGTCACGTAGACATCGGGAAGCGCTGGAACCGACCATCCTGAGGACAGATGGAGATGAAGGGTTGAAGTTGATGCGAGATGAGAGCTTCAAGAATAAACTGTTCGGGTAAACGCGAAGTGGCTCCTAGCTATAGAGCATGTATAGAGAGGAAGAGAGAGAGGGAGAGAGAGCTGGAATCGCTAGGTCGTCGCGTAGCAGCTTCACCACGCCTGAGGACGGGCAATGTACGGATCGTTATACAGTGAAAGTCGTATATATATATATATATATATATATATATTACCGAGGGAAAAGCGAATGACGCAATGCAAACTAGCCCATCAAACATTTGGGTGCAAAATCGATCGGAAAGAAAATAACTTGATTAAATCAGATTATATGGACCGCACTCGATATCCTGACGTTAAAATAACATGGTTCTGATAAAAGTAAAAATCTCCCGCTCTTAGCGCTAATCGTCGGCTCGCTTAGGTGGGCCTCCTTTCATCCTTTCAGTCTTAGTCAGCGTAAGCGATTGCGGATCGGAAGCGAACGCGGATTTTTCGTATATACTTTTAATCCCTTCTTTACTTACTACGCACTTGAACACTTCTATCTAGCTTACTTAATAGCGAAAAGATTATTACGCGCATTTCTATTGTACCTAAAGGCTTATAATAAAGGAAAGAACGATTACAACGATTTAGAAAATGATAAGCTTATAATATCAATTGAGAAAGCGCAGTTTTTCGAAAGAGCAAAGGTAATATTAAGATGGTAGCGAACGCTATTCCGTAAAGGCAAGTTACGAAGCCTGAAGCACGTATAAGTTATACGTTACCTCGTGACCTCTAGTTCCCGATTTAGCAGGCCTGCTTATAAGACCTCCTTTCCGTATCTAGTTCTCATTTCGTCTCTTCGTCTTTCTTTCCCATTACAGAGCGTACTCCGAGGTAGTAATGTAATACTGCCTTTGATAGCCGTAGCAACTTGGTCCTCTGCTTGGTAATCAATTCATTACAGCACGCATATAAAACTTTTTTTTATCAAATAACCAACATGTATTAAAGAGAACGTGAACTTTTATACGACTGCCTTTTATATACACGGTAATGCTCTGTTCGAGCCTTTTTTTATGATATATGATTTTCGGCTTTTGAATCTCGCGTTAAATTGACGAAGAATAACGACGAATTTAACGGCAATCGTGCTCGGTTTGATATAAAATTAGATTTCCTGAAAGCTATAGCTTTAGCGATTCTATTCTCCGTTGCGGTGTCAAATTTAGTTATAGTATAGTTAATTAATTGCGTGTAGAAGAAAAATCATGAAAAAACTAACCGTATTACTAAAGAGTACTAGGAACCGCAACCCTGCCTCTGACTTGTACTCCGATCAGGGGTACGATCAATGCGACCTTGAAGTTTAGAAATGTAAATCAGGTTGCGCTTTCCTTTCAATTTTGTAACTTCTGTCTTTCATCCTTCACAATTCTTCAAGCATCGTCTCAAACCTAATGCTTCTACCACTGTTACATTACCATACTCCATTTTCTCTTCGTTTCATCTTATCACCTTCTATTTGCTTTGCAACTTCCTCATCAATTTTTGGACGAACTATTGCGAGATTCAATCTCCAGTGCTCTCTCATAAGATGTCCGCCCACCCATATGCGATAGATAGTGTACCACAAGAAGTATCTCAGTGTCATACGAATCAGGATCGTTGCCCATACGATAAGGCCCGTAATTAGCGGAGGTCAGCTCAGCCAGAATCACTGGTCACTCTACCTAGTCCACTCAGACGGCTCAGTGCGTTTTAATATGCAGACCGATCCAACATCGAACAGCTCAAGAGGAGTCCTAGCAGTGACAAATCATGGATATACTACTGTCTCCAGTTCAGCTGTCAAATCCTGGGAATTCAACGTTATCGATAATCTCGCGATGTACTATGTTATACAATTGGTTCTCGATAAGGGGAGATATGCGTATGATATAGCAGAAGGTGGAGTTGGCTGTCGATACTGGATGTAAGTTTCGGATTTGATTAATTGGTATACCTAACTGACACTTGTGCAAGTACTGTTGTGATGGATGACTTAGCGAACGTGAAGTATGTGTCTGCGACATCTAACGACGGTTTTCGTATGGACGACGTTATCGGATACAACTATTCTGTCAATATGGCGCCGGTCCCACTCAAGGTCAAGCAGGGGAGGTTCCTGAAGGATACGCACAGTAGCCCAGCTACCTCAAACTCGAGCCTTGCCGTAGCATCTTCCCAGCCCATAACGAACACGACCACACATACGATAACATCGACTCAGCAAGATCCAGTGTACTTGGAAGATGATGCAACCTATGTGCCCGTCAAGATACGTAGTTGGAATGGGGAGATAGCAAGCAGCAGGTATCGATTCGTTACCGACGCAGGCCCAGTAGAGAAGACTGGCGACCAGTTTTTTGCAGCTGTATCTCCAGACGGCCATCCATGTTGGGCATACTATGGGCAAAATTCTCGGAAACATTACTGGGCTTGGACTTTGCCTTATAAACAGTAACTTCACGGGGGCTCGGATTTCCCATGGATTTGGCAGTCATAGCAATTAATTGTTGCAATATTCTTCATACTGCTAAGTCCGAAAATATGCTCGACTACCGTACATATGACTTTGTCTTCGCAGCTTACTAAGAGCCCTGTCCAGTTCCCTTCTAATGAGAGCATTGACGAACAATTCACTTCAAGAGAGCCGACGGCCCACGATTTGATTGAGAATCCTAAGGACTGTAGGCGACACCATCTTATGGATCATTTGTCGAACTCTTGTTCGGTCTCCTTCACTTTTTTCTCTATAATACTGAAGCTTAACGTCTGTTCCTGCTATTAATATCATGGTATCACCTTTGCCTAGCGACGAAGAACTAGCTTCCTTTTGTAAGAAGAATTGCCCAGCTGGGACAAGACTTGTCCGCTTCTCAGATACCACGATCATCAAGTTCGGGCTTGACATCACTCCTACCGAAGCCGCGACACAGCGATATGTCTGGGAGCATGCGAACCCAGACATCTTCCATGTACCAGAGCCATACCGGTTCTTCCAGGATGGACCCATTGGATATCTCGTCATGGAGTACCTCGATGGTACAAGCTTGTCTACGTACCTGGAATCTGCATCTTCCGAGGAGCAGATGAATTTGGTTAATTCGGTCATAGAGGCTCTTGATCACCTAGCAACACTTCCGGTGCCATTGAAACAGGGCCCTGGACCAGCTGGTGGTGGTCCCCCCCGAGGCTATCTATGGTCAGATACTGGTATATCGACATCCTTCGCTTCTATTTTCGAGATGGAGAGCTGGCTGAATCACATACTTTTGCAATACCAACCAGGCCACCAGACAAGACTGTTCGACTTCACAGCAGCAACTTTAGTGGTTTGCCATACCGACCTCGCTCCGCGAAATCTCTTGCGGTTGGATAGTGGGAAGATTGCGCTACTGGACTGGGGAAGCGCTGGCTTTTATCCACCACTATTCGAGATATATGCTTTGAGAACTCGCGCCGATCGTGAACCTTTCTTTGCTAGTATTCTCGATCGACTCCGTCTAGACGAAGAACAAGAGGGTCAAATTCAACTGTTAGCTAAAATCGAACAAATTCTGCTGTTTTATGGAGACATCATCAATAGGTAATGCGATGAGATGCTAGTTGGCAAGTTTTCCTCGCTGATTTGAAGTAGCAAAGCTAACCACAATTTCGGGAATTTTGATCTGAACTGTGATCTGAATTTTGTACAGAGTTCGTTGCATCAGCTCCATGTGAGGTTTCAGCTAACATAAGTAGAATCGAGCCCCCCTCCCTTCGCCCCAAAATTGATTGGATAACTTGAATATATCTGTTTATCCTTCTCCTGATCCTTTCTTTCTTATAGTGGATTGATCTTCTTCTCACCGAGATCCACGCCGTGTACTCGCCCATCGTGCGCTCAGCAGGAGATCGTGGAGGGGAATTCGCGGGCGTTTCTGAGAAGGAGCAGCTATAAAAGGGCCGATGTCGTTGTCGTTGTCTTTTCGTTTTCGTTTTAGATCCTTAATTAATGGAAACTCGATATCCGTTGGCTTTTATATCATAGCGCAAAGAAAGGGAGGGACATGCCTCTTCCTGGGAATGGTGCTAGGTAGTTGGGGAGGGAAGCGTGATCCGGAAACCGGATTGCTTCAAGCATTATGGTCCAGGACGGCCCACGGGTCTTATTGTCACCAACGGTGACCTAAGATAAATTCCAATAGTTATGATACTGATAAGTAATCCAATGGTTATAATAATGATAAGCAATCCGGTAGTTACAATAACAATAAGTAACCTAATAGTTATAATAATAAGTTGTTAATATCGAGTCTATTACGAAACAAATAATTAGTAATTGTAACGGATCACTTTTTTCTTTTTTTTTCTTTTTTTTAAACCCCCCCCCCTTAAGTTGCAAATTGCTATTCAGTTTGCTAGTTGCGAGCTGTACAAGCCTTGAAACGTGCAACTTCCACTGTGAAGTTGACTTGATCCTACCGGTATTTAAGATCAACTCAACTGCTTAGTTGCACGGACTTGTGCAACTGCGAGCCATACACACCCTAAAGGAAGATGAATTTACAGCGTAAGCGTAGACGTGGATGTAGACGTAGACGCTCCCGCTGCTTTGATCGCTCAAGGCTCAAGAAGCACCTTGAAAAGTTTCAGACGCCCTTTTGCGCGGCGAACATGAAGCCATGATGAGTGAGTAAGCATTCTGACAAGCCGTCGGAGGGATTGGTCATTAGTCATATCCGTTCAATTCTTGCAGGAGGAGACTGGAGAGACAGGGAGGGGATAACCATTGTAGTAGGCGTGGATTTCATATTCGAAGTCATAGTCACCGCTCGCAAACATTTCACGAATAGACAGACAGGGTAGCAGAAAGCGAGTTGACTCCAAGCAGAAAAGCTCTCGCTCAATTACAAACACATATGTACTCATCCTTCCATACTTCCTCTCTCCCGTGCACCCTCCTCTCGCACCACACCATCAATCATCAAGACAAACTATGAATATAAAACAAGAAGTGGGGATTTCCCGGACAAGCAGCAGTCCCACCGCGCCTGCAACCCATGCAAGTCCAAGGCCAAATTAAGAATCATGAAGGCGTGCGTGTTTGTTGCGTCCATTTTCCATACCATGCCCAAGCGCCAGAACGAGTGTCAAAACCCGATTTTGAGTTTTCAAAGGAAGAAAGGGGTATTGGGAAGAGGTATTAAATAATTGCCGCGTAGTCCAGAAAGCCACGCAGAAAGGAAGAAGAGCCGAATGGGGTCTTCAAAGATCGTATCCAGCAGCAACGCCAGGTGCCGGACCCTCCAAATCAACGTTCTCGACCGAATTTCTGATATCGTTTGCCTTGTTGACGAGATTTCCGAAATACTTCCGTGCGACCTCGCTCTCGCCTCTAATCTTGAGGGTCTCTTCTCTCTTGCTGCCCAGTTGCTCCACGGAGCGCTGGAGACCGACTCTCAAATTGTCGGCGGGGAAACGGAGGACCTTGCGAACGGAAGAGGAGATACGGGTAGAGTTCGAGTGCACGTAATCAATTTCCGCAAGCTGATTGCTAATCTTTGTGCTGAGGCGATGGGGGAGCGAGTGGGGAATTTGAAGAAGAATGTAATAGGTTGCTGCGATTGCTGTAGCGACGACACCAGGTAGGATCAGCTTACGGAGGTTGTTATTGCCAACGACCTTTGCTGCTCCGAGAGCGCCATCAACCCAGCCGAAGCCGCCGACCATGCGACTTCCTACTGCTGTGGCAACCGTCAATGCCATACCAGTTCCAGCCATCTTCTCCTGGCGTTGCAGAATAGTTGACCAATCGAAGAAGTCCCAGAGCTCAGTCTCTATTTCGACTTGACGGGCGAGAATGTCTCGTTTGCGGCGGAACATGACATCACTCCGGAAGCTGAGGTCGGTGTACTCGTCGCCAAGATGCAAGAGGCCGAGTTGCTTGATGGAGGAGACGCCTTCAACGGTTCTATAGCGAGCGTGCTCTTCGCAGGCTTCGACCGAGGCCGAGATTTGAGAAAGCATGGCGTCTTTGATGTCCTCGGCGTACTGGAAGACACTGAGAAGGCCCGGGTAGGGGACACCAAGTTCCTCGTCGGCAGCCTGTGAAATGGAGGCGGTGATGGTTGATCGAGTGTGGTCGTAAATATCTTGGCACGTAGCTTCAATTGTTCGGTCAATGTCATCGCTTACTTCGGCCTTGGCCTTCTTCGAGGCTTCCAATAGAGGCTCCAGGTCATTGAGTTCCTTGGTGACTCTGTCAAGTTCCGACTGGGCGACTTCCTGGTTTACTGTGGCGAGGGTCTGAACATCGCCCAGAACATTGAGCAAGTAGGTCTTAGCTGGCGCCAATTTCGAACGAGCTCGCTTCTCGAGCACGAATCGTCTGAGTGACTGTTCCAAGTGATCGAAATCCCGAATCTTCTCCTTGTCCTTCCCTTTGCCCTTGGGATCAGATTCATCAAAGTCTGGCCCATCTCCCCCTCCTCCGCTTGAGCTTCCGCTACCACTTCCTCCAGGTGGCGAGGGTGCTGTTGGAATGGCATTACTCGATACGAAGTGAACCAAATCTGCCGACTCCTTCGATGTCTTGGGGCTGAGACCAGCGACTTGATCGAGTATCATCTTTTGACACCTATTCTTGTCCCGGATGTTGTCGTATCCATTGACTACAATGAAGATATAAGCTTTCTCAGCGGCAGCTGCCCAAATAAACTCTTTGGCGGTCATGGTGAAGTGGTTGGCTGCTGATACAACGAAGACTACAACATCGATTTCCTCCTGGCGCGCAAATACTGCAGTCGTCTTCGTGGTATCTAGATTTAGACCAGGGGCATCGATAATGGAGATGTCCACAACACCGTTATTGAGTAGCGACTCGTCAATAGACCGGACATCCTTGACGTAGACTTTGCATTGGGTGTAGGTTTCGTGATCGACGACAATCTTCTCCAGTTCCGGCAACGTGAAGACATCGTATGTAGTTTCGTCATGTCGATTGTATACCACCTCCTTGTGGATCGCATGAACCTCCTCCACACCACCGTTCTCCCTTGAGTCCAAAACCTCGCAGAAGATGCTCGTACACGGCTGTTGATCCTCAGGCAGAATCTTTCTCCGCAGCAAGGCGTTGCAGAAGGTGGACTTTCCGGCGTTGAGGTCACCAGTAACCAGGACCTTGCTCGAAGTATCCTCTATCCGCTCTCGTAGATTCAGCAAGTGCTTGATGCTGGAGCTGATCTTTCCGTCAAGCAGAGAGGCTATCGAGTTCTTCTCCAAGGAATGTACCAGCTCGGCCTGGTGCAATGATCCCAACTTGAGGTCCAATTTTAACACTGAGAATTCCTGGGCGATCTGTGGTGTGATCAATCGTGGTTCCGGGACCTTTCTTTGCTCTGCCTCCTTGCTTGACTCGGCTTCGACTGGGTCTGCTCCAATTGTCTGTGACCGTCTCGCAAGTCCTGGACGGGGAGGTGCTGCCTCTGATGCGTCTGGAGCTGTCGTCTGCGTATGTACCAGTCCAGGTCGGGGGTCCTGTCTCCGAAATTGTAATGCTTGAGCGGGTTGAACGGAAGGGTATGTTGCCGGCCAAGTCGCGTTCATCTCCTGCAGAGATTCCAGGGTCTCCACAACTCTGTTGATGGACCGCGCCAGGGTTGCTCGATGTGAATTGTACCATAGCTGATGTATAGCATTGGCCTGTACCCTTCTGTCCGCTTCCGCCCTCTCTCCCATCGCTGACGAGTGCATAGGAGTAGGTCTATCTTCAGTCAGGGCTGGGTTCCATGTCGGTGCTCCATGTTCTCCTGATGTGCTTCCTCCATAGCCCGAGTCGTTGTCCAGTAGAGCCTGCAATCGGGCGGCGCTCTCTGACGTCGATCCGGAGCCCACGGTGACATATTGAGGTCGGTTCAGCGATTTTCGTTTGCTGCCACCAGAGCGAGGTTCCTCCTGGGCTTCCTCCTTCCCCTTTCCTTTGCTGTATTCCTGGCTCATCGTGTATGTGTTGCGACCATTTGGGGTTGATCAAGAGGCTGAGGAGAATGAACGTTGGTGTTGTACTTGGAAGTAAATGAGGCGGATCAATTCTGATCCACTTGCCGTATGGCTAAGCCCCTCTTGGACCGCCGCACTGAAAGCCGTGGACCGTCTAGAACTTGGGGTTTTTTGGCAGGAATGAATCCTTCGGTTGGCATAATCCGGCAATGCAATGCATATTATGACTAGGTAGCAAACTCTTTCTATCTGTGTGTTGTACAGGTTCGTGAGGGCAAGGTAGTCTAGGTCAGGTAGCCAGGTAGGTAGCCAGCCGCCTCTGCTCTGATACCCTACCGGAACATCTGAGGCCAAGCTTCCACGGTTACTTAAGGTACCTACAATGACGATGGCCCGATCTCGATAAGTACCCAATTACCCACCCAAGAATCCCCGACTCTCAACTCCCACTTTCAGTGCAACATGAACGTATGTTCACTTCGCCCCGCGCATCAAGTCAAAAGCTGATATTCATCGTAGATCGTCGAATGGGCTTTCGGCAAGCGCACCACGCCAGCCGAGAGGCTTCGGGCGCACCAGCGCAGTCTCGAGAAAACGCAACGGGAACTGGACCGCGAACGAGTCAAGCTCGAGAACCAGGAGAAGAAGCTGATCCAGGAGATCAAGAAGAGCGCGAAGAACGGGCAGATGGGGGCATGCAAGATCCAGGCGAAGGATCTGGTGCGGACAAGGAGATATATTGAGAAGTTTTATTCCATGAGGACGCAACTGCAGGCTATCTCGCTGAGGATCCAGGTACGTGGCTCAGCATGGCATATGGGAGGGCTTTTGGGGGAAGGGTTTGGGGGGGGCGGGGGGGATGGGGAGGGGAGCTGTTTGGCTGATTCTGCGATAGACCGTCCGTACGAACGAGCAGATGATGCAGGCGATGAAGGGTGCAACCGGTGTACTGGGAAGTATGAACAGGAGCATGAACCTGCCAGCTCTGCAGCGGATCGCGATGGAGTTCGAAAAGGAAAATGATATTATGGATCAGAGACAGGAGATGATGGACGATGCCATCGATGATGTTACCGGGCTCGAGGATGAGGCCGAGGGAGAGGAGGTCGTCGAGCAGGTGTTGGAGGAGATTGGAATTGATCTCAAGAACGCTGTAAGTTTTCCGCCGAGTGGGTCACATTGTTACCTGTGCTGATTGTTGCTGCAGATGGGAGAGACTCCTTCGGGTCTCCAAAGCACCACAGTGGCCGAGGGACGGATTGCACAAGCTATTGGGGGCGGTGGTGGAGGAACCGATTCGGCAGACGACGACCTTCAGGCCCGTCTGAATCGGCTCAGATGATTTGGTGACCACGAGATGCAGTGTCGGCGTTTTCCCCGTATCGCGTGTAGGAGTTAGGGACTCTTTGTTTATTCACCAAACATACACGCATTGATTTGCATCTTGGTTTTGGTCCTGCTCTCTGCCTTTGTCGGCTGATGCAGGAACTTGAAAATCTACCGACGGATTAATGACTGACAGTCTTTCTTTTTTTTTTCTTCTTTTTTTTTCTCTTCCTAGTAGTATGTTCGGATGTGTGAGAAGTAGGATCGTCGAAGCTGGGTCTGTCTCCTTGTTATGGTAGTATCTGCCTCGACCCCTCCCCCTCCCCCTCCCCCTCCCCCCCTCTGTTCATCCCTGGTAATCCGTTCCGCTCCCCGTCGCCCTGGATCCGGTGCCACCGGTGCTTGTGTCGGCCGATGCTGATCCTCGCCCCCTGTGAGCGGGTGAGCGGGTGAGCGGCGGAATTGGCTTTCTTGCCACTCTTCTTAAGTAGTGTTAAGTAGTGGAGGGGGGCCGGCAAGAATAGCTCGGAAGAGGAGGAATCGGTGGAATCGGTGGATATCATGCAATGCTAGATCAAGTGCACAGCCTGCCCATCTTCCCACCCCTGCCCATCCCCCATCCCCCATCCCCCATCCCCCATCCCCCTGGATGGACCCCGACTCTCAACCCCAGATACGGGATCGTTGTACTTCTAGGCATGTTACATATAGTGGTACTAGTAGGATATTCAACTCTTGTACGTAGTATATACCTACGTAGTATTAGTAGTTCTAGACGGAGTATATACTTTCAATACTTCTATTTCCGTCTCATCAAAGGATCTCGCGCCTAGTACCAAGTGTGAATTGAGCTGAATTGAATTGAATTGAATTGAATCGATTCCAATTGAATTGAATGGAATGGAATGGATTGGATAGGATTGAATGGGATCGGATTATTACTCGGCCGGACCCGTAACCCCCATCATTCAACTGCCACGATCTTGCTAATGCAGCACTTGGGCAGTCTCACGCAGGACTGTAATCCTGAAGCCTCGATCTGGAAACCATCTCGTTCATCGTGACCCAAGCCACCGTAGCGCGCAGCACAGATCGCTGAAGCAGAGTAAAAACCGCGGATCAAAACAGACGCTCACAAAGGATGTTTGTTACCCCATATTTGACGAAGTATCGTCATTGCTCACGCTAACCGACGCAGCTACCCAACCTACTTCTACTATTACCTATCACCACCCTATCGTCCCAGAGCTGCAACCCCCGACCCTTACCAACGATACAACCACCACTTCTTGCACGACAAGCAGAGACAGAAGAAGCAGAAGAAGCAGAAGACGAGGAAGCAGAAGAATAATCACCACAAGAAAAAATTCAAGCAAGACAAAGGAGAAGAAAAGCAAGAGAGAAGACGGGGAAAAAGACGTCGCAGACCCGACTATCTCAAGATCGACACTCACCATCATCTGGCACTCCCGATCTACCTATTTGCCTAGGTATATAGCAGGCAGGCAGACAGCAGGCCGATAGACCAGTTGACAGACAGGCACAATCCCACAACCCCACATCTCCGAACTTGACGACGCAATCAGCCGGGCGACGACGAACCAAGAAACCTACAAACCTACAAACCTACAAACCCACAAACCTACAAACCAACGAATCCTCCCTCCCTCATCGCACCTCCCCCCAAGTCTCCTCGAGACAGCACCAGGCAAGCCACCAAAGTGGCAGGAAGCGGAAGTAAACAGCGGAGGGCCTCCGGGGGTGGCTTCCTCAATAAGATGTTTGGAAGCAGTGGCTCTCCTCCAAAAGAAGGCGTTCCAGCGCCCCAGGCAGAGAACGTCGTTCCCATCACCATGGCCGCCCCAAAGACCCCCAAGACCCCGAATACCCCGAAAGCCGCGGAGGACAGTGGGACGGGCGAGAAGCGCAGTGGTAACGGCAGCCCTCCCGGCCGTCAAGCTGCAGATACAGGCGCCACGGTCGAGAAGAAGCGTCGGAGTAGTGGAGTGGGAGGAAAGGCCAGCTCGCTGTTAGCCAGCGCCAAGAACACTCTACACTTCGATAAGAGCCCAAACTCGGCTGGATTCCTGAAGGCCGCCGAAGTCACTTCTCAGACCCCTCTTCAGAAGCTCGGAAAGCAAGATCCAGCACTCAGTGTTCCCCAGGGCCAGCACAACAACTCGGCCGGCGAGTCTCTTCCAGGTCCGAAATCCACCTTCACGGTAGGCGTTTGGGAGGACAAGAATAAGAAATGCCGTCGCACTATGGAGGACACGCATGCGTTCCTGTACAATTTCTTACATACTCCGGCTCCCGCTCTGGGACCAGAGACTTCGAGCATCAAGTCAAAGTCAAACGAGGAGCTGGCACCCGGCGAGTCGACACCTACTCTTAGTCCCTCGGTCTCGTCCCCGGAGATGATGGAGACTGACAATGGCTATTTTGCTATCTTTGACGGTCATGCCGGTAGCTTTGCAGCTGATTGGTGCGGTAAGAAGCTCCATATCATTCTGGAGGAGACGATACGCAAAAACCCGAATACTCCCATCCCCGAGCTTCTCGACCAGACCTTCACAATCGTTGATGCTCAGCTGGAAAAGCTCCCCCTCAAGAACAGTGGCTGTACCGCTGTCACGGCTGTCCTTCGCTGGGAAGACCGGATACCAAACTCTCAGTCCGCTACCGGATCGTCAGCCATCGCACCTGCAACCGCTGCCGAAGTTCGCGCTCAAAATGACGCTTCCAAGGGCGACGACAAGTCTGGGGACAGTGCGGTAGACATGAGCAAATCAGCAACTCACGTGACCGCCAGTGCCTCGGCTCCAAACAGCGAAGCAACACATGCGAGACTCCGAACAACCGCGTCTCGTCAGCGAGTTCTCTACACTGCGAATGTTGGTGATGCCCGGATTATTCTCTGCAGAAACGGCAAGGCTCTGCGATTGTCGTATGATCACAAGGGCAGTGACGAGAATGAAGGAAAGCGGGTTGCCAATGCCGGAGGTCTGATCTTAAACAACCGTGTCAATGGTGTTCTGGCTGTTACTCGTGCCCTGGGAGATTCGTACATGAAAGATCTCGTGACTGGTCACCCCTATACCACGGAAACCGTTATTCAACCTGATCTCGATGAGTTCATCATTCTTGCGTGCGACGGGGTAAGTACTCCTTCCGCCCATGGAAGTTCACTGCTAACGGGACACAGTTGTGGGACGTCTGCTCCGATCAAGAGGCTGTAGACCTTATTCGCAACCAACAAGATCCCGTTGCTGCGGCTAAACAGCTCGTCGACCACGCCCTCGCTCGCTTTAGCACCGACAATCTCTCTTGCATGGTCGTCCGCCTCAACAAATCTGCCCTCATGACGACTACCAAGGAACCTTCGTCTGCGATCGGCGTCGAAGGTGATCCAAACTCAATCGCAGGCAAGATTTCCGAGTCGGAAAAGATCGTTGGTGATGCGAAGAGGAAGGCACTAGAGGAAGGTGTTCCCGGCGTTGGAGTAAGCGGTAGCAATAGCGGCAAAGGTCACGACCCAGTTCCAATCCCCGATGAAGATGCTCGAAAAACCATGGAGAAGGTCGTTGAGGAGGAGCCCAGTCTAGTCGAAGGCGGTGCTCCAGAGCTGAATCTGCGCGCTGAGGCTGTGAGTGACGAGACGGTGAAGAACTTGAAGTTGCCAGAAGGAGCTCTGAAGTGAGAGGTGGGATCTGCATTGTTCGGAGCATTTGGTATGGGTTATGCTATGATTATGAAAATTTCTGGTATCACACGCGCACACGAATCGTGAGCAGATGGACGACTCTCTTTTTTTCTCAGCGACTGGATCATTTCGGAACGGGCGGGATAAGGTCCGGATTTGCGTTAAAGCGTGGTCAGGTTGCGATGCTACTATTATGAACAAGGGGATGAACGGAGGGATGCGATATCGACGGGTGCGAGGGATGGGCCAGAGGAGAACGAATACATACATGCAGCTTTTTGTAGTTATGTATTAAGATCAGAATAGGAGTCCGTCAAACGCGGGTGGGCACCGTGCGTGGACTTGCGAGTGATGTTGTGATGTTGTGATGTTGTGAGGTGATCAGACATAGTCGAGCGCCCGGCAAAAATTCGAGTCGTGGCTTGAATGAAGCGAGCCCCCGGGAAACATTGCACGCGGGGAGTAAATCGGCTTTCACTTTGCATTTTCCAACGGAAAACTTGATTCCGACGACAGCTTGGCTGCCATGTGGTCGCAGCCTCTCTGCTCTCTTTTCCTCAGATAGTGGCGGACTCCTGTATCTCACATCGTTGAGATGTCTGATTTGCATAGATTCTCATCTTTAAACCAGAAAAGAAAGGCGTTGCATTTTGCATCCAGCCATCACACGATGTCCTTTGAGTGTGCCTTTGGATGTGTGCCTCTGGATAAACGACACTGGGGTTGGTTAATGGCGCATTCTACTAATGATAATCTCAATCAAAAAGACTACACATTGTTTTATTCACATGGATATCTTATTTTCTTTTGGTGTCTACCGATCTAGTAAGCACAAAGCCCCTGGTGTAAACTCGCAAACTATGCAATGGACCGTAAGCATACGTTGGCAAATAACCCCCCTCCCTCTGCCCTCAAGCACATCACCCGCAAAATTCATGATTGCTCGGTCTATTCATATCGCTGCATGCATCATTCGTATCATCATAAACAAAGATCTCTCAACCGAGATCCAGTAGCCACTCCAACATATCACCCAGGAGCGAGGTGTAAGAAGGGAGATTTTCTGACCTCTCAATAAACAGAATCCTTGCCCTCCTCGCGCATAGACTTCAAAATGGGCTCGTAGAGTTTCTCGACCCACTCCCAGTATGTACGCCAGATCTGATGCTGCCCAAGATTGGCACCGATACCGGTGCTGGCGCCGGGGATCGAAGCCTGAAGGATTGCTGAGACACGCAGACAGCTCTTAATGGCTTCATCTTGCTTCTCTATCTCTTGTCTAACGGCGTTGTCCTTGAGCTTGATGGAGATAACGGTCCGGAAATTAGTCGCGATGGAGTCTAGGCGGTGGCCTGTCTCTTCGGGGTCGAGGACGATGAGCTTAGCGAGCATGAGGTTGCAGAGGGAGCGGATGTCGTGCTCGTCTAGAATACCAGCGATTATTCGATCGTAGAAGTCGACAGTCTTGAGGCGAGTGAAGGCAGTCTCCATGAGAGAGTACAGGGTCTCGTAGGCGCTCTGTTTGAATAGTTAGTATATGATCTTTGTAGGGTTGTGAGAAGTCAGTTTACCTTTCGAACTTCAAGACCATCGTCAATCTTGTGCTTGAACGGACCCATGGCTACTTCTCGAATCAAGGCTTGGTTGATGAACGTCTCATTCAAGACAAGTGGCAAGAGGACACTGAGATTTGGGATGATCAAACCAGGCTTATTGTGGGCGGCCGAGTTGAGTGTGGTAAGAGCCAGACGACGATTTTCTAACTCCTTGTCGTGAAGCATGATATTGAGCATGTCAACGAGGACAGATTTGAGGACAGTGTCGAAAGTCTCGTCACTCTCTGGCAAAGTGTATCTAATGGCTTGAATCGCCACTGCCCGGATCAAGGGATTGTTGTCGTTGAGGTATTTCTATGTTGTGTTAGCGATCAACTCCATACCTCGAAAAAAGAAATCGGAATTCTACCTTCAAATCGGGCATGTAGATCTTCGGGTCAACAATAGCAACTCGTCCAATGCACTCTGCTCCGACAGCCTTGTTGTCCTCAGATTGAGATGCCTGCAGCAAACGGTCCCAGATCGACTTGGTATAACTGCTGATATCCACCAAGCTACTGTTAGCCTGTTGGAGGATTTCCTTGATTGAATGCAACACTAAGTACTGAGTGCTTTGACCTTCATCCATCAGGGACAATATCTCAGGCAGATACACGGCGACATTGCCCGCGCCTGCACGTCCGAGAGCAACCGCAGCGGCCAGAGGAACCTTGTCGGACGCAGTGGAGAATTGTGCCGTGAAGGTAGATGGCTTAAGAGGAGACTCTGTTCCCATACGTAGTCCAGCTTCACCGAGTACAGCTAGGGCCAAGCATCGCCGAGAATCGTCAGAATTCGGGTTGACTGCCTCGCTTAAGAAGTTTTCAATATTGACGCCAATTGCAGGGCCACCGTATACGAGAAGTGTACCGATCACCTTTCCAATAATTACTGGGTCGCCATTGACGCTGACATTGAGCAGGAGCCTACTCATCAATTTCTGACCGACGCCCGTTTGGCCGATGTTCTTGACGAGTGTTAACACAGCGCCGAGGACTGATCCACCGAGAGAGGTAATCAAAAGATTACACAGCTCAACATTTAGCTGGTCAGTAACAACGAGCTCCGGATTCTCATTGACCAGATACGAGATAACTATAAGTGCAGGGCCGAGGAGGTGGAGATCTACAGTTGTGAGCAGAGGTACAAGGGCGCTCATCAGACCTTCAATGGTAGAAGCATCGAGTGCGCCCTTAGTAGCTGGGGAAACAATCAAATTCTTCAGAGCCGCAAGACTGGCACCTCTGAGGGATCTATTGGCCTTTCGAAGCTGAGCAGAAAGGTCGAGCGATACCTCTCTAATCCACTTCGGTTGTAACTGACCCTTGTCACTCGTCAAGGCGGCAATAGTGTCGATGGCACGTACAGCAGCAAGCCGGGTGGTCTCGTTCTTTAGCCGGTCGTTCAGGAGGTCCAATGCGGCGGTTCTATCAGCAGCTGAGAGCAATGATGAGCCTTCCTTGCTGGCTGTACGTGCAACGAGGATTCCGAGAGTTTGGATTGCGCGCTGTCGAACTTCCAAATCCGCGTCGCTGGCAGAAGCACGATTGAGGATAACATTGAAGAGTTGTTGGAGGTCCGACTGCTGTTCCTGATTCACCGAACCCGATCGTGGAGGGGTAAGCGCCTTGACTAATTCCTCGACAGTGCCAATGGCTTCGCCGGAGATTTTGTAGTACTTGTCGTTGGCGGCTGATACAACACCGGGCACGATATTTGGCAGGTAGGGCTGTAGCACACTTGAAGAGTGTGTAGATGCAATATCACCTATCAGATGAAGGGCGGCAACTCGCAGGGTATTCGCCGTAGCTGAGGAAGCACCCCCACTGTTAATGACAGATCCGGTAGAGCCTGAAGTTGTCATCACAGCATCAATCAAAGGATCTACAATTTGGCCAAAATACTCGGATAAACCACCATTCTGGACCAAGACAACATCGTCCAATAGCTTGATCAATGCTTGTTTGGTCGGAATGGAATTACCTTTCAGGAGCTTCGTCGTAGCCTTGACCAAGGCCGGACTCAGCTTCGCTAGGTCTGCTCTAGGACCGGAGGCCGGAACAGGTTCAATAGTAGGTGATACAAGGCCAGCTGAGACTTCCTTCTTGTCGGGATGCATAGAGCTGCTCTCTCTCCTACGCTTCCGACCCTGTGGGGGATGATTGAGATAGTCCTCCGAGTCAGCTGAGAGTGTGATCAGAGAGCCTTCTCCAGTCTTCTGAATGAGAGATGCAAGGGTTGCAATGACCTCCAGACGGACATTTTCTTCTCGCTCGCTGAATCTTTGCACCAAGCCTGGGGCGACCTGAGCGTACAAGGTACCATCTTCCAGCAAATCACCACTACCTCTAGTGGAGATGAGGGTGTGCAGAGCTTTCGCGGCACATCGTCGGACCTTCCAGCTAGTGTCGTCATCGTCGTCGTCAAATCCAACTTCAGCCTCAAACTCGTCATCTTCATCAAAGCCATCCATGTCGTCTTCCTGAGTACCACCCATCTCTTCATCGTCATCATCATCATTGTAGTTTGGATCGTAACTGAGGAATCGAATGAGTGCAGCAATGGTCTCCTCGGTGTAGGCACGCATCTCACTTCCACAGGAAGCAAGGAATCCGTCTAACGCCACAAGAGCAGCCTCGCGAACATCGTCGGTCTCCGGATCAGGCTCGCCATCCTCAGCCGAGTTTTCGATCTGATCGTTGAGTTCCTGCTCACTTAGAGCAGCAAGGACGAACGGAGAAAGAGTTCTGAGATAGGGACCAAATCTTGATGGGATTGATCGTGCCATAGATCCTAGGATTGTGATGTAGAGACGTCTCTCCACCATTGTAACGTGAGGATTGCGAAGGCGCTCAATCAATAGAGAGAGGAATCTACTCAGCCCAGAATCTGAAAGATAAATGGCCAAGATAGATACCGCTACTACTGTTCTCTTCTTGACGACGGAGCTTGCTCGTCCTTTTTCCAAGATGGAAACAAGCAGTGCCTGGAGTGCTTCCACTTCGGACTGTTGTAACATAGGGCCGAAGCATCTCACAACCTCAATTAATACATCGACTGCTTCTGGGTCTATTTCTTTTTCGAGATCTAGCATGCCGCGTGGTGGGGCAGGAAGCACGACGGCTCTATATGAATTGATGACAACTCGGCCGAGAAGTCTGGGGATCAGGACTCTGCTGATTGCTAAATACGCCTCGGCAACCTCTTTCGTCGGGGCGACACCGCTGATCGGTCTAGGTAGCGTAGTAACGACGGTTCGAAGGGCCATGGAAGGTACCGAGTTATCGACCGAGTTCTGAATGCTGAGGTTGGAAAGCTTTTCGATCAGCGGAGGCAGGATGCTGGCCGGGATCTTGGTGACCAGAGGGCCAAGACTTTGAATTGTTAGCTTTGATCATTTCCCAAGTACAACATCGGGAGATTCCAACCATTTAATTGCCAGATTCTGCACCTCGCCATTCTGATCATCCAACGTCTTGATGACACCGTCCACGGCTCGAGCAGCAGTGTTGTAATCATGGTGTAGGAAATCCGGCTTGCCAGCAGAGAGAACCTGGAACAGATCATTCAACGACATGAATCTGTAGTCTGGGTCGGCATCGTGGAGCTTCGGTAGTAATTGAGCCACGGTCTGGGAGGTAGGATTCGGGGGGATCGTAGTCGACGCCATGGTGGAGACGATCTGGGTTTCCGAGAGTCAGAGTGCGCAAAGGGTGCAGAAAGAAGTTCAAGGTATCGAGACTGTGACCATGAGAGTCTGGTCGAGGTCGAAAGAAGGTGCGTGAATGTAAGAGGTCTTCTGTCAACGATGGTGAGCTCGTGGAGCTCTCTGCCCAGAACATAAGGGAGGTGACTGAGGTGATGCCGGCGGCGGTGACTTGGGAAGGGGGCACAATATACCTGTCAGAGAAGCTTACGGATCCTACGCGTATGTTCGTGCAGCGATGGAGGCAAGGGATTTTTGTTGTAGTTGTTGGGAAGAGAAACTCTCCTCCCAAACGTTAAGATCGAGTTGTTGATTTACCCCACCAAGAGCTCGGGCTACCCTTCTTCTAGAAGTAGCTCCAATAGAAGAATATATGGCCTCAGGCATCAAGCGGATCAAACTTCATCCGGACCGTTGAGTTCTCCACAGCTCATCCTGGGCGGCTCATTGATTTCCAGCCATCTCCATTTCCCCAAAGCCTTCCCACTCAATTGCGCTCGTATGTACCTGCCATGACCTCGAGTTGAAGTCTTACACTAATCGCATCTAGCTAATTAATCGCTGGACTTTATTGTTCAGCCATCCCGAAGCAATGGCATTTTCAAGATTCGCTGCCCTGCGTTCCAGCATCCGAGCTGCCCGACCAACTGCCGCAAGGCCTCAGCTGTTCCGTCAAGTCGTTCGACGTGGATACGCCAGTGGTAGCCATGAGCCTGCAAAGGCCAGTGGTGATGCTCTCTGGTATGGAATTCTACAGTATCAGTTCATCATTCTCTTCCATGTCCTAACACGACTCCGTTTAGGGCCGCCACAGCTGTGGCTGTAACTATTCCGTCCTGTTGGTGGATCCTGTCCAAAGCTCCGGATGCTTCTCACGGTCACGGCGGTCACGGTGGTGAGCACGGAGAGGTGCATGGAGAGGAGCACAAGGAGGAAGCCGAAGACAAAGCCGAGAAGTCTGAGGACAAGCCCGAGGAGAAACCCGACGAAGCAGAGGCAAAGTCTGATGACAGTGGCAAGTCCGAGGATTCGGACAGTGATGATGACAAGGAGGAGTCTAATACTCCTGAAACCTCCGATGATGAAGGCGAGGAGAAATTTTCTGCCGATGGCAAGAACACGAAAACTATTGTTCCTGATGCTAAGGGTGGTAACAAAAAGAGACTAGAGAGCAACAAGGGTATCAAAGCTGGGGAGACTGACTCGGAGGATTCGTCTGACAAGGTATGGAGAACAGAAATTGGTATGGACAAAAGCTGACATTGTATTGGCAGGCTGCTGCATCTAAGCCTGTTGGAGACAAGAACTCTCAAACGAGCAAGCAGGAGGGTCTTACCAACACGGATACAAAGCACAGCACTGATATCACCAATGACCCAACCAAGTCCAAGAAGGGAGAGGGTGCGCCCGACACAGCCAAAGTCAAGGGAACGGTGGACCCCAACCGCCCACAAGTATGAAGCTCTGCCCGAGTTCATTAGAAGAAAATTTCATTATATTTTCGTCATGGTCGGACTCTCTCAGCAAGGCCTCTCCTAGGAGGTAACGCTATGCTGACCACATTTAACCTGAGAATGAATAGATGTCTTAACATCTGCCTTGGTCACGGGAGGCTATGTTGATGGACACAGACGAGGACCATGCTTATTGGCGACCTCATAATTGTACACTTAATGTATCCAACGTCTCAGATCTGCACATTCAATAAAAAGTTGATTTTCAAAAGCTTGCGTCGTTGGGTTGAGCGCAGTTGGGGCTTTCCTTTCGCATTTGCAATTTCCGCGCCGTCCATTAGGACGAGGCAAGAGCGCCTGGTGTCCATATTACGAAGATCTTCTGCATTCGATCTCTTGTCCTCTCTCCATCGGTTTTCAGTATCGATCATCATTTCAACAACCATCAGTATCACAGCATTACTTAAGTCGCTTTTCGCATCGCAAGTACCCTGTTTCTCTGGTTTAATGGTGTGAATACTGACTGCTGACAGACTTACTGAAATCAATGCTTCTGCACCGGTTGAACCTACATCGCATGCTGCGTAAGTCTCCTCACCCCTCGACCAGCATGCTCATGGATGGGATCCCCATGCGGATTGTACTGTCTCCCGCAGATGTGACATGATTCTAATTTCCAACAGTGTAGCCATGGCAGCCTCTCAAAAAAAGGTCCCATTCCACCGAGACAGCCATCCAACCCCAAGAGGTTCAATTAGTCAACCCACCCCAAGATCCGCAATTACTCTGGCTCAGCAGAGGCAAGAATACTCTGCCTCCTACGCAGAACTGCCCAGTTCAGTTAGCAATCTACCCACTACACCGGGCAATGGAGACAAGCCGTATAACGGCTGGATGAGCCGGGTCAGTACATCTGCTTTGGGATCTTATAAGCGAGCCTCCACCATGGTTACTTCTGTCCTGAACACATACTGATCTGTCTTTCACCTAGTTTGGCGTCGAACCACAGGGAGATTTCGGCACTTGCTTCTTGGGCTTCTGGATACCTTGTGTACTCTTCGGGAAGACCCATTGGCGACTCAAGCGGGTCAGTCGTGGACAAGACGCCTCAGATGCTGCTTGGAACCCGAGTTATGGCTTCAATAGGCTTTGTTTGGCATGTGGAGTAGCCGCCTTGGCTCCGCCGCTCGGCTGTAAGTAGTGATGTCCTGTGCATTTTACCCGTGGAGCTCTGGCAGTCTGGAAAGGCTCGAATTTGACCGCATCGCCTACCTTCCGGGGCAACTACCCGCTCCCCAGCCCGAATCTTGCTAACTAATCGCTACTCCAGGCATTCTAACTGGTATTCAACGCTCCGAGATCCGTGGTACCTATGGCATCAATGGGAACTGTGCATCTGATGTCGTACTGGGCATATTTTGTACTGTGTGCACCCAAATCCAGAATGATCGCGAGGTTCGAGCCCGAGAAGGAGATACAAGAATGAGATACAATGGGAAATTTTTGAAACAGGACCTTGTTAAGGTGGAACCCAGACCATCCGCACCAATGGAGTATTTACCAGGTCGCTGGGAGCCTCCTTTCTGTGAGCCGCAGCCTCCAGCCCAACCCACAGGGCATACTCTTGTTCACACGGAAAAGCCTGCCAAGCTGCAGAAGCATGAACACCGCGAAGAGTCGAGTCCCGACCGTCTTCAAAATGAGATAGACGAGAAACAGTGTCCACCACTTGGTCAACTGGAGCCAAGGCCAGAATCGGATAGTTACCACATGCAGACTACACCAACAATCGTTGTCACTGAGCATCAGGATCCCAAGCCCCAGGCCGAGATTTTGGGCAAAATTTCTAGCAGCGAGGAGCCATCGTCCCAGCAGCAGACTTCTCCGTCATCCAAGGGACACTCGGTTGTCACTCCAAATCACACGCTTTCAGAATTTGTCACTGGCGAGGATTCCATGCAGACGAAGGCTACCTCATCTGGCCCTGCTCAAGATCGGATCGCAGAAGGCGAGACCGTCCGCCCCAAGTACCCATTAGCCCAGATGGTCAATCAACATCGTCTATCCGAATGTGAGGCCATTCCAGTGTCGAAGTATCTGCACGATTTCCCCGATCATCCCGTGGATAAAGCTGTTATTGAAAAATCTGAGAAAGAGAGCAAGCAATCCCATGATCACGAGCTTGAAGAATGCATTCAAAGTCTTCCATCCGAACTTTTCCAGGCGAAGACCGCTCGTACTGTCCAGCATACTTTGGCTGACTGCTCCGATGATGAGACGACGCTCATATCGCCTGCCGCATCTATCGATACTTTCCAACACGCTTTGGCGGATCGCTCCAATGATGAAGTGACACCAAGTGCCTCGCCTATTAGTTATCGTAGTGTCAGCAACAATCTCGAAAGCACCAGAAAAAAACTACGTGGTTCGGGAGAGCACCGTCTAGTCTCTTGCCCGACGCCGCCTGTGCTGTCTCATCAAAAGGTAGAGACTGCTCGTATCAACGCCAGTAATGACAGAGAAGCAACCCAACGACCGTCCAAGAAGCTTGATCACAGCAAGAGTCAAGAACAGCTCCGTGCCAATCAAGCTGGCGCCACGGACGTTGTCAGCAGCGCAAGCAGCGGCACGAATTCTCAAACGAGTACCGAAGATGCTCCCCAAGCTGACGGTGGCACGGCGATCCGGAGACACAAGAGACGTCACAAGCCTAGCCGAAGGCCGAAGGCCAAATTCCCTCTCAGCGCTACTGACGGGAATCAACACGGCCCATCAGAATCTGCTCAAAACTCGCTCGAGAAGGTCCTCGCAGCTAACGGTGGCAAAAGAGAGAAGCCTCAGAGAGGTAGTAAACAGGCGAGCAACAATAGTCAGGATAACGTGGACGAAGAAACCAACTCGGCTGCTGCGACTATGGGCGAGACTTCTGGTCAGAATTACAATGCTCTTCGCAGTGAAGAGGAGCCTAGAAGTCCTGGTGCTTCCCCAGGCAGTGTCACCGGGTTCTGGGGCAAGATAACAGGAGGCTCAGGAAAGGCCAAGGTGGAGGAGCCACTGTCAAATTGATGGCTAGGGGCAATGGTTGATGGCCGAAGGGGTGGATAATGGGTACCAAGTGGCCCCAGACCATGATACAGAATGTGTTGTTATGGGTGATGGTAGGACTATTGCCAGTCCGTCCTGTCGTTTCTGCACACGGACGCCGATAAAGTAATCGAGTGGCTGCCACTTGTAGCCAGTCCCTCTTTCAAAATGGAAATCATCAAGTCAGGATCAGAATCAAGACTTGCACTCGAAGAATGTGAAGATGAAGAAATTTTTTCATTCAAAGGACCGCAAGTATTTCTCAATCGTACCACGAACGCCGTATCTCGGTTTGTTTTGACCACCGAAGATATATCAGATCCGTCCCACCCTTTCCCATGCATCCTTGCCTCTAAAAGTATTACTCCGTGGTCCCGCAAGCCAGCATTTCATTTGAGGATCAAAAACAAAGTTGATTGAATGGAGGTGTAAGGAGGGAGAGTCATGAGCGTGGGAAATGGGTGCGAGTGAAGAAAATGCAAGTTTCTTCGCGGGGAAAGGAGGGGGTTGGGGGGTATGCACAACATGCGGCCCCTGTCTCTCTCTCTCCCTCTCTCTCTCTCTCTCCCTCTCTCTCCATCTCTCTTCAAGCGGCCACGGCATCCCCGCTTGATTGCTTTGCTCGTTTGTAAAGGTTAGTTGGTTGTCGTGTGTCTTTTGCGTGTTTGGTCAGAAGTGTGGATGTGCGGTTGGATTTTCGGTTGCATAAAATCATTGGTCCGGCCCAGCTCAGCTCATGATAGAGCTTGATCGGGTTTTGGGAACTCGTGTAGATCATTCATTGGTCATGTGGGCGTTGAGGTTTGGGGGATTTGGCGTGTAGAAGCAGGAGGAGCAGGAGGTTGAGGTTGAGGGTATCAGACGGCTTGGTAGAGGAGGAGGGGTTCGCCAACGTTCTCGATTTCGGGAATTGTGCATTTCAGATCGAAGGCTTTAGAGAGCACTATTTTGAAGATCTAGTGAGGGATGTTAGGAAAATTCTTGACTTGGTAATATGGTGTGAGGGGATTTTGGTGGAGTAAGAGTTCAGAGTCCGGGGTGGAAACTGTACCTTTTGCACGTTTATACTGTGACTGGTGCTGCTGAAGATTAGGCTTGCTCGCATTGCTTTTGCAAATCTACGGGCCTGTGAGAGCACTGGTCAGTACTTGTATATGACATGGGGAAAGAGAGTGGAAATACCTGATTCGAGATCTCTTCCTGATCCTCTCTGGGAAAGTTGACGAAGTGGTCATATTTCGTGCCAACGAGAAACGGGATGGCCGTCTTGTTGAACCCTCGCCCTTGTCGGTACCACTCCTTGATGCTATTCAGAGTGCTCTTCCTTGTCAAGTCGAACATGAAGAGGATAGCCACGGCGTCATTGCACACCAACGGTAGCATATTGACGAACTCCCTCTGCCCTCCCAGATCCCAGATCGAGAAGGTAATCTCGGTGTTGCGTATCGATATCGTCTTCTCCATGAAGTTGACTCCCAGGGTCTGGATGTAGTCCTCGTCCCAGCTGCCCTCCACGTATTTCACCATGAGCGACGTCTTGCCAATCTGCGCATCGCCCACCATGCCGACCTTGATGACCACGCTGTTCTTGTTCCTGCTCTGATCCGTCGATGCACCACGGGCGTTCTGGTCTGCGTACGAGGCTTGCATGTTGCTGTAGCCGCCGCCGTTGCCAGAGAGGCCCGAGTTGGGGCGTGAGATGGAGGGCGCGAATGATGTTGGTGGCGTGGGATACCTGCCATTGCCGGTCGGATCCACATCTGGCGTGGGCGGACCCGAGTAGTTCTGATGTGAGGAAGGGAAGTCGGCGGATTGGGATTGGATGTGTCGTCGTGTTGGGGTGTGAGCTTCTTCGGTGCCGCCCATTGCGTCGTCCTGGCCCTCTGCCCGCTGGTCGTAGGCTGCCTCTGCCTCTGCCTCCATGCTGTCTACGGCGTCGTGGAATTGTGATGGGGAGTCCGCAGAGAGTGTCGATGAATCCATGAACACGGAATTACCTGAAAGTTGGGTGCAATTGCAGTAGCAGTTGCAGTTGCAGTTGCGGTTGCAGGGACGGGGTTGGGTTACGGTGAGATGAGGCGAGGCGAGGCAAGGCAGGGCAAGGCAAGGCGGGCTGAAAGTGAAGACTGTACTATCCGAGTTCGAGTTGAGGGATAGCTACATGCCTTCGTACTATGTAGGAGTGTAGGTCGAGCACGATTTGGTCTGCTGGTCTGGGTCTGGTCTGGGTCTGGTCTGGTCTGGTCTGGTGTGAATTGGGTGTATATGCAGGCACCGATCCCAAGGTCCACGCGCGTACGTACGGTCGGGTATGTAGGTACGGAGTAGGTAAGTCCAGGATACGATGAGGTTATTCGCAGACCTGGTTGGTGTTCGGTAGACAGACGAGAGACCCCCTTGGATGGCGTCTCTTCGCGCCTTGCGGTTCCTGGCGCTTCAACCACCGAGATCTGCTGCGAGCAGGTATATAGATATATATATATATATATATATATATATATATCTCTATAGGTATATGTAAGGAGTTGTATCTTTGCTTCTTCCCTTCTTTCCTTCTTCCTGCAGCGCATAACCCTGGGCACGGGGAGCCGGCTCGGGAATTGGGCGACAAGACGATTGATTAAGTCTAGTATTTGCTGTTCAATATCAATATCAACAGTCAGAGTTTATTTCCGACTTGACACCACATGTCGCGTTTAGTGGGTCGCTTAAATGAGAGAGACTGTGAGCAGACCGCCCTTCCTTGCGCTGACCCCTCGTCTTACTTGTAACTCCGGAGGTTGGGCTCTTGTGCGCATTTCTGATCGTGGTGCCGGCTAGCAAAATTTCCCAATCCTTCTTTTGCCTTTTGCAGGTCGGGAAAAATACGTTGTACTTGAACGAACCAACAGTAGGGCCATCAACAGCCTGCCTCACATCACCCGCACGCCATGGCATCAATCGCACGATCCCTCCGGCCCGTGGCCTCGCGATTCTCCGTCGGCTCTTGCAGAAGCGCGGCGCCTTGCAAGGCCTCGCAATTCCAAAGGCGAGCCTTCTCTGCGTCGCCGATTGGTAAGGGAAATCTACTCCGTCTTTGATCTGATACAGGATGAGCATGTCACTGATTGCCAGATAGCGCAGGTCAAGAAATACACCAAGGACCATGAATGGGTCGAGCTGTCCGAGGATGGCAAGACGGGAGTCATTGGTATCTCCGACTACGCGGCGCATGCTCTCGGTGACGTGGTTTACGTCGAGCTCCCAACCACGCCCATGGAGGTCGCAGCAGGAGACTCCATCGGCGCAGTCGAGTCCGTGAAGTCGGCTTCAGATATCAACGCACCCATCAGCTGCACCATCACCGCCGTCAACGACCTGCTGGAGGAGAAGCCAGGGACGATCAACAAGGGGCCAGAGGACGATTCTTCTTCGGGGGGGTGGATTGCCAAGGTAGAGGTGGGGGAGCTTGGAGCGCAGGATCTGAAAAACCTAATGACTGCGAAGGAATACAAGGAGTTCACGGAGGAAGCCTAGGCGATTGGGCTACCTATACGGAGGTAGGTACAATAGACGTTGCACTTCAACAGTGAACGGCGTTGGGAAGGAACCTATGGACGCTTCGTGGAATTTGGATGGAGAAGATGGTGAAGAACATGTGCACTTTTCCCATGCCACGAGACGCCGGCGACCCAGCAAGGTATTCTATGTTTTGTACATAAGCCCATCATAGAGGCAACGTCTTTGCTCCAGCTGTCTCCTACCACATCGCTCATACTATGCTCCTCCAGCCTCCTTGATAATCGGGCGATTGAGGTTGATTCTCTCCAAAATCTTGCCAGCTCCCTTCTCGACCAGCTCTTGCGCCAGCTTCCAGCCGAATTCATCGGCCTCCTGCTCATTCAGAATCTCTCCTAGCCGCTCAGCAGCCACACTCTCCGTTCCGTCCAGACTCACCACAACAGACTTGATCAGCAGCTTGCCCTTCTCAATCCATGTCGTCTCAACGCCGATGGGCACACTGCATCCCCCCTCCAGCGTCCTCATCAGACTCCGCTCCGCAATACCAGCCAGCGTAGAATCCTGGTTGGACAAGCACTTCAGAACCTCCATCGTCTTCTCATCCCCTTCTCTGACCTCAATCGCAAGCGCACCTTGCCCAACCGCATGCAGCATCCCCCCACCTGGCGTATTCGAGTCCAAGTACTGCGTGATGATATCCGTCCAACCCATCCTAACAACGCCCGCCACAGCCAGAATCAAGCACGAGTACTCCGAATCGTCCGCATTCAGCTTCCCCAACCGCGTTCCCAAATTTCCTCTCACATCCTTGAACTTCAGATGCGGGTAAGCCTTCTTCACCTGCGCGCTCCTGCGCACACTACTCGTGCCGACGACCGCTCCCTCGGGCAAATCCGCCAGCGTCTTGAACGCCAACCCCTTCTTCATAATCACACAATCCCTGGGGTCCTCCCTCTCCATAATGCACCCGATCTTGCACTTGTTGGGCAGCTGCGTCGGCATGTCCTTCAGGCAGTGCACGACGAAGTCCAGCCGCCCATCTAGCAATTGCGCCTCGAGCTCATGCGTCCACAGGCTCTTCGCGCCGAAGTCGTGCAGCGGCGTGACCTGGTTCTTGTCGCCCATGGTGCTCATGGCGTGGATCTCGAAGGGCTGGTCGGGGTGCGCCTTCTGCAGGGCGGCGAGCACCATCTCGGCCTGGATGACTGCCAGCGCGGACTTGCGGGTGCCGAGGTGGAGGGTTTGGAGGGAGCGCTTCTCGGTGTTGATGGTTGGGTCCAGCGCGCTGCGAGACGATGTCGATGGGAGCTGCTCGTGGGTGGCCATGTTTGCGGTGTGCTTTTTTTTGGGGGGGGTTGAGGTTGATGGACTGAGCCGTTGATGGAGGGGCTGGTTTTTGTTTTGGATGTCCACCATGGTGGGATGGTGGGGTTATGACATTGCATCAGACTCGGTAAAAGGAGGGGCCAAAACCCACTTACTATAGTACTGTCCGTATTCGTAGTAAGTAACAACGAGTACTTATATATGATTGAAGATGCAATTAATTTTTATAACCAAGCTGCTAAGAATACAGCTTGCCATCATTCATACTCCTGAAGGAAAACGAGCATATTTCAAAATCCAAGTCGGGGATGGAAAAGTCTCCAGAGCTCCAAGCTAAGAGATCAGATATGAGTAGCTATCCAAGCTTTCGTCTACCAAACCCCTCCCCGCCATCCCAAGTTTGTAGAGAACATGGCTAATATTATCAAAAGCGTCGCTGGGTCGAGAAGATTTAGGCTTTCCTAGGATTTTCTGGAAATGCTCGCTTGCACGTCCAATTTCCTTTTATCGTACAAGCTCGGCTATTTGCAGACCCGCGGTGAGTTGTGTCTGGCAAGGTAGAGGCCCAGTATTACCTGTTGACCTGGATGGGCTAAAAAGCCTTCCGAAGTGCCTAGGAAGACGTCAGTAATGGCTATGCTATGAGTGCTGAGTTTTGAGTTTACGTGACGATAGGTCCGATCAAAATTCACTGTCAACTTCGGGATATTGTCTGCTCACGACTTACAAGCGTGATTTTCTTTTCGAGCGGACGGACTGCAAGACGAACGATAGTTAAATGTGAACGTAACACCTGAGCACTTCGCAAAAATCCAGTCAATTCTCAGATGATCCTTATCATCGTGACCAAGTACCGCCTCGGCTACGACTCTTCGATCGTCGAGTCGTTCCTAGACACGGTAAGGATATAAATGTTTGTGAAATTATACTGATCCGCAGCTAGCAGCAACACAGCAGAATCTTTCGTCCCACTCAGATTCACATGACGCCGAATTAATGACCATTAAAAACAACAAGAGGCCTCAAAACTACTCTCGCGCGAGACAAAGAATGCAGAGAGTGATGCCTCCATACACCACACCACCCACCCAAGAGCTCAACCACGAACTCCTCGACTGGATCGCCAACCTTTCCACCCGCGACAAGATCCCTGGTATATATCCCGACTACAAGTATAGTATGGAACATTGCTCTTTTCACTAGGGTAGTCATTCACCTTCTCCTAGGCGACTTCACGTTTACACGCCAAGACTTTCTGCGGTGCGGCGAGATCGATTTACTGCTGCATCTTTTGCTGTGCGATGACCCGGGTGTGGTGTGATATGAGAAGAGAATCATCAAGAGCGAAGAAGATAATATCGAAGACGAATAAAAACCAGAAAATCACTGCGTAAGAATCCTCTCTCTGTCTAACCGGCTCTTAGTATCCTTTACCGGAAAATATACAGAGTACAAGTCAATACTGTATCCAGGGGAAAATACTGAAATGCAATGCAAGCTCGGCCTGCTGATCACTTTTGCGTAAGAAAAAAACTGTCTGCTTTAGAGCACCAAAGAAAGTGTCGGGTTTTCTCGATTGATGAAGCTACGGTCGAGTGGTCACGAGGCTTCGACGCGAGGGGTGTAAGTAAGCGAGGGTTGTTGATGTTGACGAGACGCCGTCGCTTGTGACTTGGCACAGAATAGGGGCTACAAATCAACGTACATGTGCATTGCAAGCACCTTCTTTCTCTATTAACGGATACCCTAATTTTCGACTTCCTGCCTTTGAATAGCAGCTTTCATTACCATTCCGATAAATCTTCAGGTCCTGCTTTACATCCAGCGTGGTGGTTGATCTTGTAGGATTTCCCTCCAACAACGATAACAACCATAGCAGCATACAGCTCCCCGAATTCCAGCGTGTCGAATCTTTTACAAACGATCGAATTTTGGATTTTTTTCCCGTTTCGGAGAATTTTTCGATGGAAGCGTCAGATCGCGATGACTTATTAACATTGAACTCGTAAGAGACGGCGGAGCCAGGGTATTGGAAGAGAGCGCTCCGCTTCAACCTTTCAGCTATTCGTCAAGCGCCTAACCTCCTTGCAAAAAGCAACATCCTCACCTCCAAATTGGTGGGATTGCGACTGCATGAAGAGATTCTCCTAAACATCTGTCTAACTGGCACATCTAGCGCTTCTCATGTATTGCGCTCAAGTCGTGCGATCCCAAATGGCCTAAATGTCTCTATATCAGAAAGTTGGGTGGCGTAGCTGCTGCTGCTGTTACTCCAAGATCTTGCTTGTTCTTCCTCAAATTCTCAGCTGTATAATCAACATTTTTTGGGGACGAAGTACAACGAGCAGCGCTCTTTCGATATCGACGCCCGTGGATCTGTGAACACGAATTAGATACTTCCTATACCGTAACGACTTTTCAACTATCTCAGCCGTCTTCACATATATAATATATATCTACTACAACCTTGATACATCTCATTCGGGTCGTCGAGGACTACATCTACGTTTAAGATTTCGTGGGTCAACAAAAATTTGGCAAGCTCAGGCCAGGCCATCATAATTTCGAACGAAAAAGAAATGCCTTTCTATTTAGATATAGATTGCAAAAGCAGCTTCGTCCGCTTGGGTTTGGAAAATACACTCTTCTTCAAACTTCCGAATGAGAGTTGGGATGCCGTCTTCTCATATGGACTATTCGGATCTTGACAAAAACGAGACAGCGAGAAAATGTTGACCTGGAATTTTGCAAGTTTCCAGACCCCGTATTCACTTCTCCGCTCGATACTGGAGAAGCCCCAGCGTGCTGACTATGTGAAGGAAGTTAGGATGGTGGTCCCGTCACCAAATTTGGGTCATGTTTATAAGTTGAATCTCTTCGTGATAGACCCTGTGTAGCCAGCCATTCGAAGAACTTATTGGGATTGCTGGACTAGTATAGCATTGAAGATCCAGCACAATCTCTCATAATTATAGTCAAAGTTGAAAGAGAACGAAACACTTTCTCGCAAATCTCTCTTTGCAGTGGGATGTTATTCAAGTACGGGAGTATAGGCTCAATCATCATAAATTCGTAACTTGCGAGAAAAAAATCGGTTCTCTACCACCAGAGCTGAGACCCTACTGGACCGAAGTGGGCGTCGCGGTCGGACTTCTCCTATTTCATCTCAAAGCTCTGACGTCCATCGAAGTTCGGGTACGAGACTGTTCCACGATTGGAAGTCCCGTCTTCGAGGCATTGAGTAGTTATGTGCAGCTTGATCGTCCACAGGAGAGATTTCCGAAACTCAAAGCAGCCGAGGTCTCCCTCGATCAGGCTCAAAACTTCGAGCCTGTCGGAGAGATTGGTGTGCCTTGGGGGCGAGACCCCTGGGACACGAGCGTAATTGTTCCAGCTTTTCTCAGATCTAATATATATATATATATATATATATATTTTTTATTGAGTATACATTGAGATTAGCTGCATCCTACCAGCTCGTAAAGTTGCAGAGTTCGTCAAACTGACTTGGAATCTTCAGGTCTCTATCAGTAGCAGCACTCTATCTAATATCAAACTGTCACGAAATTCCGAGCCTTACTACATCTCTGAAGAAACCGACGCTCGAATTTGGAACCTTAAACGAGCACCATCTGTCGACTCTTCTCAGCTCCACATCACATCTCGAAGAAGTCAGCCGTCATCTTGCCTACACAGAGGACCTCTCAGAATTGATAGAACCTCAAACTTACCCGGTCAGCGCGAGTCGACAAAGTTCAAGGGACTCTCAAGCACTTGGCGATCTGACTTGACATTCTTTTCATGACCGAGAACCCACGATGGGACATAAAGGAGCAACTCGATAATCTCTAGTCATCTCAGCAGACTCAAACATCTGGATACTTCGATAATCTTCGGGGGAAGGATATATGGCAAGCATCAGAAGCTGGCAAGGCTGCCAGGCCTTCGAAGATGGAGAAGTAGATTGATTACCTGGGGACCTCGCGACTGAAGGATTAGACTGGATAGGGCTCGGAGATGCGCATCCGACTTATAACCATCAGTGGCTGGCAGAGACAGCGAGAGCCTTGCAGGTTTACTCCAGAAGGTATCCAGGCGTCCAGATGATTCGGTGTTGAGGGGGATGGACTATGAGCCTTTTGCCGCGATGTACTAGGAGCCAGGAGACGGGCAATATAACAGCTTTCTCCCGAACTTACCCCGAAGTATAGCATACATTCCATCTTATCCAATTCATATATCTGCTGGGTTCGCTCTTGACCATACGTGAGGAACTGCCATGATTGATTTTCTCGTTGGACTCGGTGCTGGATCCTTCGGTAGGTCCTCGGATATCTCCTAGCCAGTGGAGAGATCTAACCTCTTTAATACAGATAGATCATAACACCAATAGATGCCTCTTACCCGCGGAACTAACCTTCCACCTACCCAAATGTTACGGTTCGTGACCGGCTACTGAAGCGGCACAGTTTCGAGCGAGTCGTTTGAGACGTACAGGTAAGTCTAGAAGATGATCAATCGCTATCCTGACGTCTATTCCGTGCTGCACGAAAGCCGAATCCAGCCAGCTCTTACATCAAACCCGCTGAATAATCCGACCACGGAGACCACCACCCGAGACACAATCGTAGGGTATTCCGTAAGCCTCTGGAACGTCGTTGTCGGGATAGTCAAGACTCAACAGGCGCTGGGAACTTGGTTTGGGAGTGCATACCCCAAAGCAGAACATTCTCGGCTTGCGGCTGCTGCCTGAGGCATACTCAGCATTGGGAAACTGGATAACTCCTGCACACTAACGCATGATGTTCTGTGTGACTTGCTTGAGAGACGCGCTGGCTCGACTATTCCTTGAGCGTACTGCAGGTGTTTGGGGGCTATGTCGCAACCCAGAAGACCCCCCGACCAGGGAGGCGAGATATGTAAACTGGCAATGTAGTAGTTGTACAAATGACTCTCTGTATTTTGATACTCATGCTACCAACGAAGCCGTTTCGTGCAGGCCGATGCAGGACCAGACTCTCGTTGACATCCGAACATTCGTCTACCTCGAAAAAGCGGGCCACCGGTTGTCAAGCCTGAGAGCTGCGACTAATAGTAGTTTCTCCATCTCTGAATAGCGTCTTGGCATATTTCTGCAACCCCAGGTTATTTTCTTCTCTAGTCGCATTCGATTCGACTCGGTTAGGCTCGAGAATCTTTGAAGTGTTGTTAATGGCAGCTCCTCGGCTAATTTTTCGGGAAAGCGGATTTTGCCACCAGGATGCCCTCTCTGCCCCAACACTCCATGTATTCCTCGGTGGAACAATCCCTCACCCTATCCTACCACTACATTACTTTTCATGCAGTAGGTGACAATTAACGATCTGCAGCTACCCCGTTGCCTTTTACTTTTCCCTGCAATAATCGTTTTCCATTTCTCGAGGACTCGCCCGTCGCGTGGTAAAGGCGGACAGGAGTCTCCGTTCAATACATACATAAACAAGTCCAGTCAGTACCTTAGTCTACAGCAGGAAGTGACCCCGCATGTGCTCGACATACAATAACCCCGCGCCTTATTGTAATAAAGCAAGCGAATCGAAATGCCAAGTACACGATCCGGCAACAAAGATCGGTGACAACCCTGGGAGGTATTGTGCTTAAGCAAATACCATGTTCATAGTACGCTCGCTTACGTACGGTACAACTACCTACTACGTAGTAGTATAGGTATTGGATTCGGAGTTGGAAAAAGGAGGTTAGTGGATTAATGGATCAAGGGCCACTGCATGAGAGCTGATGATAGCCAGTAGATGGCGAGAATCGCTAGTAGTAGCGAGTGCTTGGCAGGCATCCTTTTCATCTTAACAACACGGTGAGATTTATCAAATATATTTTTGCTAGATTTCATATTTCTAAGGTTGATACCTGGTCACCACCGGGTGAAGATAGAGATTATACGAGTAGCGCGGGCGGCAGCTGTGTACGGAGCGAGACGAGAGAAAGAAAGATCGTCGATCCGTTGTTGAACGATTCCAAATGGGTAGGTACCGCAGGTACGTAGACTGAAGAAGAAGCACAGGGGTCCTCGGTCCCATAAACCCAAAATTGTGGGCACGATGAGATATGGGCTAGGTACTACTACGTAGGAGAAGGGAGAACTGCATGGAAAAGCTCAGACTCCTGTATCTAAGCTTTAGAACGGACGTCTGTTTACTTAGTAGTACCTGTACTTACTACCTACTTATCAGATGAGCCGAGCTAAAGCAACGTCACAACAGCAAGCAAGCACAAGCGACGAGCTCATACTACCACCTACGTAGTAAGTTGTACTACTAAGTAGCAAATCTGCGACCAAAACTTTGCTTGCTAGGACAATCAATGAACTCTGAGCCTTTCAACTAAGTTCAAAAAAAAAAAAAAAAAAAAAAAAAGGAAAAAAAAAGGAAAAAAAAAAAATTATACAAATGGAAGGGAGCAATAGTACTTAGTATTCCGCAACTCTGCCGAAGTACCCTCAGCCACGAAGTAAACCTAAGGTGGCGCAAGTGGTACCGTTTAGTGGAAGGTTATACCTACCTCGAGCGAGCACCCGTCTTGGACTTTTCAACTTGAAGTACAGTAAAAGTACAGTAAGTAAGTAAGTACAGTAAGCACACACACTCTCTCTCCCGTGCAGTAGCAATATCTGCAAGCCAAAAGTATCCGGTCTTTCCTCGCGAATCAGCACAAGCTACATACACCTAAACCCAAAAAGGTAAGCCGAAGGATTCTTTTCTAGAGAAGAAGTGGAGCCATCAAGATTCAACGGACCCGCTACTGTACGTAGAAGCATACTGCAGCTATGGGCCACGGCCCAGATCGTCTCTGCACAGACAATTCAAGCCGTGAGTGGTCCAGATTTCTGGGAAAAAAAAGGCCATCATCAGACGATCTTAGGTACTGTACAGACGGGGTACTTGCTAGTTCTAGAATCACAGACGAGAGACCCCCCGCTTAGCGAGCGCCCTGAGAGGTTTACTTCCAGTACTTACCTTACTCCGTATCTACTAGGAGCTGTACCTCCGTACGTACCTCACCGATAAGATACTGTAGTAGAGGACGATCGATTCCTGCAGGATCAGCAGAGCCCAACTCGGTTCAGTTACTGCGGCGCAACTCTAATTCGCGATAGTCGATAAGATAATAAGTACAGTGAGCTATTTTCTAGACCAAAAAGAAAAGGATAGCTCACCGAGGCTCAGCGTACCCGTGTTGAGAGCAGTGATGTCACAATACTGAATACCGGTACCTGGGCAGTCAACATCGATTCCAGTGTCCAATTCCATTGCATCAGGTGATCACAAAATAAGCCTTGCTTGGACCCTCCCCGTTCCTCACCCGACACCGTGAGACCAGAGAAGAAAATAAAATAAAAAACTACAACGCTTCAAAGGCGGCAGACAACCTGAGTATTTTAATGATTATCCCAATTTTCTTAGACATTTATGTAATCGTCGACCTCGCGGCGTAAAGTACAGCGTGCAGGTGTCCCCAGCACTCTACGCCCCTATAAACATGGTATCTATCATGTTTCCCAACCAAAGTAAAGTAAAATAAGATAAAAAGAAATTAAACTCCAGAGCCAGCTATTTCAATATAAATTGCATCTCTTGTGATAGATGCCTCGTGAACCCGACTTCCGCCACGACCCACTCTCACATCACTCCTGGCTACTTGCTTGTCCGCCCACTGTCGTCGATAAATGATTCGGTCCAGGTCGTGTTGTCTAATGAGTTCTCCGCCAGTGTACCTCGCATGATTTGGTAAAAGCGGGCTTGGTCGTCCCATCCTACCGCGCTGATTGGGGCTCCAACGATGTCTGCCTCGCCCCAAGTGGAGTTTCGAGTCGGTAGCGCATCCCATGCCGTATTGACTGTGGTAGAGGCCCTAGAGCCAATGAACTCGTAGATACCCTTATCCAGTCCAGTGTAGTAGACATGCAGTTGATCTTGGATGACAGTGTAGGCAGCAGCGAGACCAGACAGCGGGTTCCAGGAGTCGATGTACACCGAGGAGACGATGGATGCTGGAAATACCGTTAGATGAATTTGCTCAAGTGAGCAGATGGATCGATCCACTTACGCTTTGTCCAGGAGTTAGCAGTATATTGCATTTTAAAGAGCGACTTCGTGAAGGTGTCAACGAAGAAAACGTTGATGTTGTTGGTTGTCGAGTTGATGTTCACAGCAGCAATAGATGAGCCGTTGAGAGCCGATCCACCTATTGTTTTGCCAGTGTTGAATCCCGAATTATCGCCCTGAAGCTCGGAAATGTACCCATCTTTGTCGTGGTAGTATACCCGCCAATCCTGAGCTGAGTTCACGTTCACTGCAGCGAGACCTGTATAGTTGCTGGCCGGGATTTTAGTCGGCAGAACGCAATTCGCGATGGTATTGCACCTATCGGTGTATGGCGAACAAGTCACGGCGGAAATCGTGATATTATTGTATCCAGAGAGATAGAACACATTGAGCATCACAACACCGGTCGTTGGGTCGACTTCTGTGGTAGCTGATAGCGGAGATCCAAGTCTGGGAAGAATTTCCAATTTGACAAGCTGCTCCGCTTGAAACTTCTTTCCGTCCAGGCTAACCTGGAGATGTATCGTACCGTTGGTTGAATTCTGCCAAACCACGTGGGTGTTGATTGTCTTGTTGTCGTTCAAGATTACGCTGGAGCTTGCCACACTGTTCAAAGTGTTGTTCGAGATAGTAACAGGCTGAGCTACGACTGATTTGGATTCGTCTAGCTCCTTGGGCGAATTCACTTGACGGCTGACCATCCCAATAGCCATCCCGAGGACGAGCACAATCAATCCCGCGATAGCGATAATCCATAACAGATTTCTCCTCCAAAACGGCAGTTGTTCCGGTCGTTCCGGCAGAGCGGATTCTGCATAACCTGGCGGTTGAGCAGGCGCCGCTGCAGCAACTTCTGGGGCGTTTGATGGTCTTCTTTCTGGCTGGATCGCCTGCATTCCCGCACCCACCGGCGGCGGCATCACCACCACACACTTGTCATCTGGGTAGTAGGCACCCTTTTCCGCCGGGGAATAGGCCTCATGCATGTTGCTCTCGACTGACGACTGTAGTGTCGCTATCGGCGAAACCGGATACGTTCTATCGTCGTGCTGTTGCGTATGAGGGGGATTTAGGTTGTAAAGACATGCTACGGAATAGCTCGGCCTCCTTTCGGCCTATAAAGTCTTGATCAATATGATACTCCAAATCGAAGACGCGCTCGAATATTGATGAACAAAGCTGTACTGAAGCTGTAGCTGAATGCAATACTTCTAGTCGCCAGACATGACTTGTTGACGTGGATCTAGCAGGGAGAGTTGACTAACCATCTTCAGAGATGAGGCCGAGGGCCGAGGACGGAATATGGGACCAAGACTTGCTGATCCAGAAGGAGTGTGAAGCACGTAGGCTTACGAAGTCAAGTGGTCAACGCTGGTTGTGGGAAGACATCAACAGACGAAAGAGTAACACAAAGGGTCTGATGAGTGCATTTGCATGCGCCGGAGAGGTGTGAAGCAGGAAAGATGTGAGAGAGAGAATCTAGGATTACAAGGTCCCTCTCATGCCCAGGCCCGCATCTCATTAGCAGCAAGTAAAACTCCTCACGCATGATCTTAGTTAGCCGTATGCATAGGGCTATGAAGGTCGAACCGAATTTATGGGACCAGCAAGCCAAGATGGCCAGGACGGGAGCAGAGCAGAGCAGTCAGGTACCTAGTAGTACATCTAGAAGTACTCTCTGGTAGAGTTCTCTGGTAGAGTGCTCTCCCCTAGCAAAGTTCAAGCCCTCATCAGATCATGCCGCGCAGAATCCCTGGGCGAATGTGGGCCTCTCTCATTCTTCCTCGAACCTTCCGGCACTTCAATACCCACAATCCTATACCCTACCTGTGGCGCATGATCCCCATGCCATCTGATGCTCTCGAGTCTGTGTCGACAGCGGCTGATCTATATCTGAGATGAACATCTGTCACCCAAGCCCAATTCGTAGGGAGTCCCCCCGGGGGGGAGTGATGAGTCTGTAAATGTCTGGTCTGTCTGGCCTTAGGGACTTCCCAGTTTCCCATGCTCCAGACCGCAAGCAATGTGTGTCCTCGGGTCCTCGCACCAAGGTTTGGCGTATGTCGGGTTTTAAACAGTCTCGAGGTGTTTGGACCAGGTGGATTGCGGTCGGTGTATCAGGTGTCATGTCAGCTCCCTGTCACAAATGGGTATATCTGGCTGGCTGGCTCGGCACCCATTTGTATTTAATGAAGACGGCTTTTCATTCCCACTTCCGTGTACTTCCGTGGCCGTGGTTCTGCCTATCCACCGGCACCGCCGAGATCAGCACATTGAAATGCGGTGGGGGACGATAACGAGTAAGCTCCGTACTGTAAAAGAATATGCGTCTGGCCAGCTCCGAATGCGTGACGTGAAGGCATCAGGAGGAAGTAGTAGTATTTTTCTGTTCTCTCGCATTTGCCATCTGCCATCTGCCATGGGCCATGGACGTCTGGGATGGCCATGTAAGCCCAGAGCGCTCGGGGCAATCAAACTTCTTCTTTTCAGCCTGTCTGAGAGCCATCGCATTCTTGAATCCGAGAGCGAGATCCTCGGCTCTCACGCCAATGCTTGGTTGGGTGGAGAAATGCCATCGTCGAGTCCCTGCAGGCTGCGATGAAGGGACAGGGGAATCGTGATGTGCATTGATCTTCCAGAAAGTACCTATGGAGACTCGGAGAGCAGCTGACCTCGGTGGATCTGTTAATCCGAAACCGATCCCCCTTTTCCGAGGTTGAAGCGAGCTCTTGTTTTCTTTCGACGTGGCGCGACTGCGCAGCTGACATCCATTTCCGGTTATTGATACCATTCTTGCACAGTTTACACCTGTGGATGTGAGTTCTCAGGGTTCTCAACGTCCAAGGAAATTTTGTTGTCCACGAACTATTATTATGTATACTTCCTCATGCATGCTGACTAGCCTCGGGGAGAACTCAAAGTTGCATTTTCAGCCACGTTCAACGATTGATGGGGCCCAAGATTGCGCCAAGTGTAAGGGTATGCCAGCACATAAACTCATATCCGATACTCGCTTTGACAAGAAAGCCCTTTGTTACTTCATCTCTGATCAATTCTATCGAATTTCCAGAACTTATTAAGGGTAACGCGCAATCCGAAGTCACCGAGGATTCAGAGGCAAGTTCCTTCATTCTTGTCAAGTCTCTTTCTAATTTTGACCATAGTCGACCTATGAAAAGCACTCGTACAGATAGTAGTAGCTCGGAGTAATCTGACAGGGCCTCTGTGGTGTTCATTATTTGGCCGAGCTTTGCGCGCCGCTCGTGCGGTTTGTATAGCTTAGCAGCCCAGCCCAGCCACCGCTACCTCCCCTCTTGAAATGATGTTACGTAGTACCACGGTACAGGCCTAAGTATTACCCCTCGAGGGTGCCTTAAGAGTTTAATTTACACTTTAAAGCCCCTGTTTTCCCTACCCTCGAGGGGTAATACTTACGCCTGCGACGTAGTATATCGGGCTCTGGAAAGCTTGGCCCTGCTGCTTGGGAAACGTTTGATGTTAGTATTTCAGGAAGAGGGATAATCTCCATTTCTGCAGATCCTCACATAGCCACGCTGCCCGCCCGACTTTCCAAACGGACTGATCGTCAGGCTAAATCGTGCATAATGCCTGGCCCTCTTCTTGCTTGTTGTACCCGTTTCATTCGTTCTCGGTTTAATGTTCACTCCATATTTGACGTAGGCCCAGTTTCCTGCTTACTTTATTTCATGAGGAACCGAAATATGTCTGTCAAGCCTTCGCCATGCTTTTACTTGAATCGGGTGGGTGCTACTTATAGCTTATAGTTGTACGAACGAGCAACGTTATCCCAGGAATCGAAGAGGACCTGCGCATGATTCAAGTTTCAAGAGCCGAGGTTGCAAGGGCCGAGAGAGTACATGATTGGGAATTGAAAGTGGCAGTCCCGTTTATTGTGTCATGGAATATTTCATATAAGGAAATATATATTTATATACCTATCTCCACCGCTATCGGAGGGAGGCACAGAGTAATCAGTCTGAGAGGATGAAAGGAGGCCCACCTAAGCGAGCCGACGATCACTTCTCAAGCTCAAAGCTTTCGTACATTTGGGTAGCTACCTACATCAATCGATTGTTTCCTAATATATCCGTTTCGGTATCCACAGCTCTCGCTTCTCTCACTTCAAGTTCATTTTTTTTGACAGTTGGTACCCTGCTGGTCGATACATTCATTCATCACCCGTTCACTGGCTTGTAGCTGCCGAGCGCATCAAATTTTAATAACAAGCAAGAGACGACTACTCAGGATAATCAGGTCCAAGTCCAAGTCCGAGTCCAAATCCAAATCCCAAAGGTGAAAACTGCTTCTAAGCTAAGCCTCAAACCCAAGTATACATCAGCGAAAGCCGGCCCCCATCTCCCCCTTCTTCATCCACAAAGCCAGACAAAATCGCGAACTGCCACAGAACAATAGAAATGCAACAAGCCATCTTCTTTCTCAAGTGAGATTCACTCTCTTGGTATGAATATTGTAGTGCTGGGCATATATATATATACACACACACACAAACAGACAGAGCTGCTTACAGTTATCATCACCCGCTCGCCTGCCAGTATCCACTACACACTACTATACAATACAATAAATAAACAAAATTCCTTCAACCCATCAATACTAACATCAGCATTACCAGTTCACCAGTCCTTTCTTCTCCCCCCCCCCTCCTCTCTCTC